GGGACACTCCAGTTGGTATAATATTGAGATATCAAGGAGTAAGATATCAATTAAATACTGTTGAAAAAGCGGAAGAATTTTACCAAAATTTTTTGAAAATGAGTTCAACATTTTTATGCACAACACAAGATAAGCAGAAGGAGTTGGAAATAAAGGAAAAATATCGAGCTACAGAGGCCTCTGTAGATGAATTGCCTTTGGATTCTTTAGATACCTCAGCTGGATTATCCACAAATAAAAGAGATGTGGTATTGGATTCTAATGTGATGATTCATCAAGTCACAGACAAGCATGAAATCAATCAGTTGATACACAACCTATAGAAAAGAAATATGAGTCACAAAAGCAAAACCAACAAGATCAAGTTATAAATCAGAATGAAAACCGATCAGTCGATATACAACTCGTAGAAAGGAAATTAGGATGGAGATCAAACCCACAACAAGTCAAGAAAAAAAGAAATAGATCTCGCAAAAACAAAAATTTCTAAATTAGGCAACAGTGAAGCCAGTTATTTAAAAGATGGCTGAATACATGAAAAGATAGTTGAGGCGAAGTATTGGTCAATATTATCCTGAGGAGAGTGACAGACCTCTGCAGTGCTGTAATTTTGGGATGTGAAAAGGGCCTTAAATTGTTGGATTGGAATTATCCATTTTGGATTTTTTTTTTTTTTGATAAATATATCATGCTTATCCTGAGCTATATGGCAAGAGAGCTATGCTGGGGCATGCAGAAGATCTGGTTGTTACCCCATTATGATGGTGGGAATTAATAATCCTGAAGAAATCCACTACTACAGATATTATATGGAATACAATTATAATGTCACTCGGGTGGTTGTTTTCCTTTTTTATATACATGAAGATATTTATTGTTGATGGGGGCAGATGATAACTGAGGATTTTTTGAACATTCTGTTGCAATTAGGATGCTATGTTACCCTAATATGGGCGATGGAGTTAACAATCCAGTGGAGAGACATCAAAGAAGATATTATATTATATGGATTATGAATTTAAAGTCATTGATTTTATCTATATAAGGGAATATTTTTTTAGTAGTGTGGGCAGAAGAATAAAGATATTAAGAATTGTTATGTATGGTAATTTTGTAGGAAAGTGGGTGGAGACAGGTTAGTTTATTGATTGTTTAGTTTAAGAAAAGGGATGTTTAAGAGATACATTTATGGGAGTGGAGGAAATGGATAGAGCTGAATAAAGGTTAAATTAGGATTTATTATATAGCTTTTTAGGGGAAGGCTGCTTTGAAATGTTATATTAATATACATTAAAGATTAAATGTTAAAATAGGATTTATTATATAGTCTTAAAGTGGAAGGTTGTTTTGAAATGCTATATTATATTATATTATAAATGTTATATTAATATATAGATATATGTATGGGGGAGGAGAAAAAGGGCAGATTATTGCTAAATTGGGAGTTAAAATAATGTTATTATGCTAAACTAGAAGTTATTATACAATGTTACAGTAGAATGTTATTTTGAAATGTATGGTAAAAGGGGGATGTAATAATATTATTAGAAAGAAAGGGTCAGTATTTGAGGGATGGAGCAAGGGGATGGTAAAATATTATATAATCTGTTACGAAGTTGGATTTTATTTTGAAGAAGTCACAGGGGGATGGGTGATGAGGGGGGGTTAGGGAGGAGGGGGGGAGAAAAAAGGGGGAAAAATTTGTATTTGAAAAACTTTTTCAATAAAAAAAGAATGTCAAATTTACACAATCGCAGAATTTGAGGGAAATTTTTATAAAATGTTTTATAGATGGCATTTAGATCCCAAGAAATTGTCGTGTATGTACCCTAATGTTCAGCCAAAATGTTGGAGATGTGATTGCTTAGATGCCACATATTATCATGTTTGGTGGACCTGTAAGAAAGTTAAGGCTTTTTGGATAAAAATATGGTGGGTTATGCAGAATGTTTTGAAGAAAAAAATTCAATTTTCTCCACAATTGTTTTTACTGGGTATAGTAAAGGGTTTTACATTGGATGAAACTAAGTTGATATTGTATATGATAACAGCAGCGAGATTATTGATAGGTAAATACTGGAAAAATGAAGCTTTGCCCACTATTGAGGAATGGACTTTGAAGATGGCCAGCTTTGCAGAGATGGCGAAGATTTCAGCATATCTAAAAGATCGCTCACAAGAGACTTATGAATGGGAATGGAAAAAATGGATAGATTATGTGCAGAACAAATATCAAACTAGGAAGTATCAAATAGCTTTTCATTGAAAGTATTATATAAAAATAGAAATATTTGAATTTTGTGAAGATGAAAAATTACATGGGGGTTTGAGGGGTTCAGGTTTTATAAAAAGGGGATTTTGATGGGATTATATTATGTGGAAGTCAGGGGGGAGGGTTAGGGGGGGTTTGGGAGGGTTAGGTTGGGGAGTTTGGGGTGGGTTGGGAAAAATGGGGTGAAAATGTAATTGTAAAACTTTTGCAATAAAAAAAAATAATTATACAATTATTGACAAATCATAGGGTAATGAAAATTATACAATTATTGACAAATTATATTGTAACAAAAATTACTACTTTATTACTACTTAATACACAGAAAAGTATTTATTTTCTTCCCCTTATAGAACAGTACATACTCTTTTGTTTAAAATCAAATTTCTAAGCCTCATGAGAAGAGTGTGAGGATTAAGACAATAGAGACATGTGGTTTAATACCCCTCCTTTGAGGGGTAGTGACATGTGCTGACTTCCTGCAATTACCTGGACATGTCCCTGCACAGTTTTTTTTTTTTTGCAAGTTTTCAGATGTAGTGTGCTGTTGGCTCGTTTCTAGAGCTGAGAGAGAGTGACTGGCACAAGGTAACCCAGCTGGATCTCTATCTATATGTATGTATGTTTGTTCAAGCATAACTCTGGAATGCCTCGAGCAATTCCAGCCAAACTTGGTACACAGATGACTTACCCTCTGGAGACAAACACTGTGGGCGTAAGATGCCCCTAAAACCTCTCGGGGTGTGTGTGTGTGTTCCAGCATAACTCTGGAACACCTTGAGCAATTTCAACCAAACTTGGTATACAGATGACTTACTCTCTGGAAAAAAATACTGTGGGGGAAAGACACCCCTAAGACCCCTCAGGGTGTTTGTGTGTCCTGGCATGCAGGTGGAACATAGAGCCTAGCTTAGCTCCACCACGCATGTGCACACGCCTCCTGCCAGCCAGCTGATATTCGGGTCTCTGCCACGCATGTGCAGGGGGTGGGGGAGTGCAGAGGGGTTCAACGCGAGCCCCTCCAGCCCATTTTGGCTGCAGGGAGGCGTACTAAGTTAAAAATGGGGTGCGGGGGGGTGCGGCCCTCCTGCAGCCTGTTTTGGTTCACAGGAGGCTGTAGGGAGGCCTACTAGGCCCAAAATGGGCCCCAGGGCGGTCATGCACACATGTGCAGGAGGCACATATGGGAGGCAGGGGGGATTAGGATGAAAAAATACCTGAGCAGCACCAGGTCATCAGTTAGTTAGTTAGTTAGTTAGCTAGCTAGCTAGCTAGTTAGTAGTTAGTTAGTTAGTTAGGCTGTCTACTGTTGACCTCCTTACATTCCTAAGAGGTCTGTAAGGGGCGTGCATAAGTGCACCATCGTGCCTACCATCCCTGTCCTAATGTCCCCATTTATTTGTATCCATTTCATGTATTCATAATCATGTTTATAGTTATATCTGTTATGTTATACATGCTTGACAAAATAAATAAAAATAAATAGTTCAGTTATAAAACTTATTGTAGAAGCTGGAGCTTCTTTGTGCCTGGCTATATTCTCAATGCACAAGGAGAAAATTGACATGAGATCTCTGGAGGGAAGGAGGGAAAGAAATGTGGCAAATTAAATCATGTTTCAGAATATCCAAATGATGTTTAAAGAAAACAAAGCAAAAAGAACCCCCCTCTTTTGCTTCTAGGAAGCAAATCTTCCTTCCAGGTTTTTCCCTCCCTAAGGCTGTTTCTGATATCTCTTATTCACAAGCTTGCTTCTTCATACAATCTATGTCTTACATTGCTTATCAGCTCCAATACTGCTCTTTCCTCTGGGCCATGGAGACCATGGAAGTTTGCATATTTAGCAATTTAGGAAAAATCTCCATGATATTTACTTGCCTTGATCAGAGCCCCAAACTCTGCTTTGCTTCCTTTGATCCAGAAGCAGGGAAAATATACAATTTCACACAAGCGGCATTGTTATGCCTGGTCATTTCTTGCATGTCTGACTTCAAATGGGACTGCAGATTTTCAAAGCAATACCATCTTTACAATGCAATCTTACGTATGTTCACTTGATTAAATTCAACAGGCCTTAGTCCTGAAAAAAGCATGCATAGGAGTATAGTAATAAATGCTCAAAAAAACAAAAGGTGGCAAGAAGTGGTGATCTAATAATTATATAGGGCCCTTGCACTGGTGCCAATATTATACCTCCCTGCCTCTTTGAAAAATTAGATGAACCCACCAAAACATGGTGTTGATAGTGTAGAATGAGTAACTAGCAAGGATTAGACCAGACTGGAGAACTTAATGTATTACACGAAGCTCCCATTGGTAGCAATGGAGGCTTCTGTTTAAATAAAAACAAAACAGCTTTAGGGAAAATATCTTAACCTGGAGTTTGTGAAAGAAAGGAGGAAGAAATTTACTCCCTCACTCCATCCCTAATTCCCTGATCCATATTTTCTTTCTTTCTTTCTTTCTTTCTTTCTTTCTTTCTTTCTTTCTTTCTTTCTTTCTTTCTTTCTTTCTTTCTCTTTCTTTCTTTCTTTCTTCCTTCCTTCCTTCCTTCCTTCCTTCCTTCCTTCCTTTCTTTCTTCCTCCCTCCCTCCCTCCCTCCCTCCCTTCCTTTTTCTTTCCAGCTGCTACATATTGAGCAAAGCATTGGAATGAAAGAGAATTGGATTGAGCAAAGAATTGGAATGAAAGAGAAGAATGTATCCTTCTGGGTGGATGAGATAAATACCTGGGCTTTGAAATGGGTTTCCTAACTGTAGCCTTCCTCAGGAAGGAGAAACTTGATCTGGCCCACTGGAGACTCCTTTTGGGAACCACTGGCCGAACAAACACTTCTGTAAAAAAAATAACAGGACATTTCCAGGTAAGTACAAGCTCTGCCTTATCTGATTTGTGGATGAAGATGAGCATAGAAGATTTGAAACTCATATTAAAACTTCAATTCACCTGGGCATTAGGAAATATAGATTAGGATCTGCTCACGCAACAAAATAAACTCCCCACTGATTAATTAATTGACATCATTATTGGCCATTTTAGATGCTTCCAGCTCTCTCCTGCTGCAATTGCAGTATCAGAAGCCATGGTGGCGCAGTGGTTAGAATGCAGTATTGCAGGCAAACTCTGACCACAGCCTGGAGCTCAATCCTGTCAGGCTCAAGGTTGCTCAGCCTTCCATCCTTCTGAGATCAGTAAAATGAGGACCGAGATTGTTGGGGGCAATAACCAAATAATATTGACATTGTAAACCACCCTGAGAGTGCGGTAAAGCAGAGTTCCCTAACCTTTCTGCCTTTGCGGACTGGTGGTGGTAGGGAGTGGGGATGTGTGTATACATCACTTTGTGTCCCAGTTCTGATCTGCTCAAGGCCTGGTAGTGGGTAGTGGCCAGTGGTTGGGGATCTCTGCTGTAAAGCACTTTGGGGCAATATATACTGTAAGTCTAAGTGCTATTACTATTGCTAATTTATACTAACTGGCATTGCCACTTTCTAGCACCAAGTGCCCAGCAAAAGAGGCTGCATTTCCTTTGTTGAGTGGTCAGCAAACTGGGGTGGCTCTTGAAGGGAACGTGTCTCATCTCATGCTAGACATACCAGCAAGGCCGGAGGTTAGGCAGAGGGCACAAAATATGGGGCTGTGATCCCAAGAGACAAGCTGCCATGATGGACCGACTGAACATCTGCATGTTATTTTTTATAATTGTATTTGAGAGGGAAGATATCAGGGGTGAAATGTTACTGGTTCCGGCCGGTTCGCCCAAACCGGTAGTAAAAAATGCTACTGGTTTACCGAACCAGTAGTAAAAAAAGTAAAAAAAAAAAGTTCCGAAGATCAGCTGAGCGAAACATGATCATCGCAACTTTTTTTTTTACTTTTTAAAGCATTTTTTATTACCAGTTTAAAGCATAGTAAAAAATGCTTTAAAAAGGTAAAAAAAAGGTTCCCAAACTCACGTGCCACAGCTCATTCCCACCCCCCAGCTGTTCTACTTACCTTCCGAAGCCTCCTTTTGGAGCATACTGTGCATGCGTGCACACAGCGCATGTTTGGTGTGTACTGCACATGCGTGTGCACAGTGCGTGCTTGGCACACATGCACAGCCAGCGAACCAGTAGTAAACTGGTTCAGATTTCACCACTGGAAGATATATATTTTTAAATGGGAAGTGAAGATAGCTAACAATACTCAAGCAGCAATTGATTGAGGCATTTCCCTTATCAACTAATAATAACTGATACGTTATAAGTGGCTGTCATTTCTCCATCAGCCTCACCCACTTACAATTAGATTTTTCCTGTTCCTGCAATATCTCGTATCGTCAGACTATCTTACTTCATTTCAATCATAAAATTTGGGCAACAAGAGCTGAAGTGCTGGTTACTCTGAAAATATGATATCCTTGCAGAATCTCAAGACTACTGCAGGAAATACAGGTAGTCCTTATTTAGTGACTGCCTGATTTAGCAATGGTTTCCAGTTCTGAAAGTGATGAAAAAATAACTATACAACCAATCATTATATTTACAACTTTCACAGATCGGTAAAGATGAGGAAAGCTGAAGTAGGATAATAAACACAACCATGGTTTCACTTTGTGACTGCTTTGCTTAATGATCAAGCTGCTAGTCTCAATTCAGGTTGCTAAACAAGGAGTATCTGTACTTTATTTTTAGATGCCTCCAGATGTTTTTTCTTTCCCTATTCTGAGATATTACGGTAACAGAAAGCCACCAATACACCCTAATCATCTCTATTGGGATTTCTATTCCATTTTCTTCCATATTGTTTGTGAACCAGATGAATTCCTCTTGATTGCAGTGCTCCAAGAACTCACTGCCTGATGGACATCTCTTGCAGAACTCCCGGAAGTTCTTGCTAAGAAGTTCCACAGCCATCTTGGGATTCAGCCGAGCCAGCTCCTCAAATGTCATACTGCCATAATCTGTTGTTATGGGCAGGGGGGAGAAGTGGGAAGAACAAGCATGGCAGTCATTAGTGGTTTCGAGCTACTCCAGTTTGCTACTCAGGATTTGTTTACGTTATGGGGAAAGAAGTTACAACTCAGATGTAACTCAGTGCACCATGAAATTGCAGGTAATGTTGTGATTATTTTTTTTTGGAGTCACAAAAGGTTCAACCATGCATTTTAGTCCCTCTGGTTTCATTTTTACAAACAGTTTTGCCCAATCAGGAAGCAGATTCTAATTCAATCCAGCTAGCTTTGCTCTCTGAGCTAACTAATGCTGTCCTAGTTCTGAAGAACCAGCTCTGGTAGTTCCAGAGATGAATTTCTACAAATCTGATCTTTACACTTCTGAGAACTGGGTGGAAATCTACCTCAGGACATCTACCGGTAAATTTAAACCCGGGTCAAACAAATAGCAGTAAGAGACCTGTAGCAATAGTGGCCTGTTTCACATAGCATGCTAAGCCAGTGGCTGACTTCCCACAACCAATCAGTCAGAGATTACCCCGTCCCATTGTAGCTTAATCAAGCATGCTGTGTATCAACAGATAAGTTTGGATCCATGTACCCCAAATATATTCTAAATTGCTAACCCTGCAAGGACTCAGATCTTGCTCTCCAATTAAACACTGCTTTTGCTGAGCCAACTCTGTCAATTTACCCATCTGTGGCACAACAGGCTCCAATTCCATGAAAATAGAGCCTCCTGTGGTCAGGTCCTGAATGCCCAAGAGCTGCCAGTGGTCTCGTGTCAGCAGGTCAATGTCTCTCATGCCAGCTAAGGCCTGGCTCAGATGCAAGGATTCAACGATCCTTCTGATCAGCCGCAGGTTCTCAGTTCTGTCATACGGCTCTTCTGCATTTGGTTTCTTTTCCTTGCCACTCTGCGGAAAAAAATATAAACGTATATACCCACCTGGTTATTCAAAGCAGTGAATGTTGGAATCAGGGACAGGTTTCAAAACCCGTCACTACCGGTTCACTCGTGGGAGCATGTGTGCTTGCGTGCATACGCAGAAGCGTCCAGACGGTGGGCGGAGCCTCCCGCCTCTGCCGCTATCGATTTGCCTGATCAAGTGTGAACCGGTAGCAACCCACCACTGGTTGGAATACTACGCACTGAGATTTTGAGGCAGATCCATACAGAACTTTTTCCCCTCAGACTCTGAGATTGGACTACCAGATCTAGGCTGCAAAAGTCTCAGTGAGATAGATAGAATCTCTATGAAACTCTAAATCTTTGATGCTTCCAAGTGATCACTGAAACTTTTTCAGCCCAGATCTTGTAGGCCTATTCTGAGAGACCTGGGGGAAGTATGTTCATCCTGAATCCTACTCTTTCCAATGTTCTACTTGCTTTCGATAGGCTTGTTGGGTGCTTTTTTTTTTTTTTTTTTTAATTACTGGTTTTCGGTCATCAAAGTCAGTAGCTCAATAATCAGGAGTGCTTGGAGAAACGGAAATATCTGTCTGCTAAAACTGACTGCTTTTTGCAAACAGTGCCTTGAAGGACTGCTTTTGAGTACAGCTCTGGCCTACTCCAATTGAAAGCACCATTCTTGAGCTATTCTGATGGCCTTTAATTGAAACTAATTTTTAAAAGCTTGTTTCAACAGGCCACAGACCCTCATGGCACATGTTACCAAAGCAAATTCTAACATCTAACATCCATTCCTTCTGAAATCTGATAACTTTTCTGCTCCAAGACTGTATGGGTAGTCCTCAACTTACAACAGTTTCATTTAGTGATCGTTCAAAGTTACAATGGCACTGAAAAAAGTGACTTATAACCTTTTTTCACACTTACAACCGTTGCAGCAACCCCGTGGTCATGTGATCAAAATTCAGACATTTGGCAATTGATTCATATTTATGACAGTTGCAATGTCCCAGGGTCATGTGATCACCTTTTGTGACCTTCTGACAAGCAAAGTCAATGGAGAAACCAAATTCACTTAACAACCGTGTTACTAACTTGCAATGGTTCACTTAACAAATGTGGCAAGAAAGGTCCTAAAATATGGAGCAAAATTCACTTAACAAATGTCTCACTTAGCAACAGAAATGTTGGGCCACGTTGTGGTCATAAATCGAGGTTTTGTTTTCCTTGCATTATATTTGGGTCCCTTACTTGTCTCTCCCACCTGAACTAACGATCTCCATAGCTCCCTCTTACCACATAATACAGGAACATTTTGTCATCATTCTGAAGAAACTCCTCATAGAGGAAGCTGAGTATCTAAAATGAACATAAGAACAACACCCAAGTAAATGATTTTCTTTCAGTTTCACAATAATTAAATTAATTAATTAATTATACTGGTCCTTTCCTTACTGTTGAATACTGTTTTCTCCTCCCATTTTTTGAGTTGGCAGAAAATTTGATGCTTCCATTGCCAATCCTTATTTTGCCTCTATTGCGTCTGTTCCTCCTAACTTCCTTGCAAACAATGGGTGAAAAAGCCTAGCAGATTTTATTTACCTTGGGTCTGCCTTTGGACAGTTTTGGAATAAGGGGGAACCCTGCAGAAAGTAAATGTTGTCAGAGCAACATTTATAAATGTGCCAGAGCACATTTGCGCCATGTTAGTTACAAGTGGTGAAGCACCTTTTCTATCTGTATGGCAAACCATAGGTATTGTGTACATCATAGCCTCAGGACCTAGCAAAGCTGCTGAAAGATTAGGTTGCTTTGCCTGGGAAAAGGATGGAGATGGTGATCTTCCCACCTTACAGACTTCCTTCTGTGCCTTCAGGACCCAGGGAATCACATGACCAGAAGGCAGGAGATTCTGCAAACTCTGGAGTGTTGTTAGTTTCAGGGGCAGATGCCAATTGTTGCTCTGCGTCAGATACAGCTCACAAATTCTTTCCCCCATCACGTGGCGCAGAAGGATGTTCCCTTCACCAAGGGAGCACAACATCATGCGCAAGAAGTCCTCCAGGTCATGCCACAGATCAAGGAGATGAACTTCTACTGCGTAGTTCCTCCGCAGCAAAAACTCCCTGAAGGGGCGTCCGGCACATTTGTCAGCCGTGAGTACCCAAGGAAGGAAGTCTAAGCATGGGGGAGACTTGATGAGAGTTTTCAGAGCAAGCATGGAAGGGAACTGCACTACAGGAGTGGAGGAGCGCAATTTGTTGTAGGTGCACTTGTCAGGGAACTCATCTGATACAGGGGAGGTGAGGAACTCGTTTGGGCTGCATTTGAAGTTCGGCGATTCATCAAAAGGTGTCACATCTTCAGAGTCCCAGATGAGTTCTTTGTGACGAGGGCTGGGACTTGAGAAGCTCTTTCTGGAGAAGGTCAGCTTCTTGGGAATCGGACTACCTTTATATGATTTGGGCTTCTGGCTGTGGCCATCTTTTTTTTTTGCTTTGTGAGAAAGGCTCCTACCTCTGATCTGATCCCAGAGTTCCCTTTTGTTTTTCAAACTGTAGTAGGACTTTGTGTCCAGACTGCTTTCTCGGATGCTCATCGGAGGCAGAGCTAATGCCTTCTGCCTCTGCATGCCCATGTGAAGCGAGCGGTCCTGATACTTCTTGAGTAAATGGAGACATTTGGGCTCATCCTCCATGCTTAATTTGCAATGAATGAAGAAGTTGGGGAGCCAGTAGCTTTCAATCTTGAACAGGGCCACTTTCTGCATCTCGTGTAGGATTTCCCTTCGAGTTTGGACGTGTTGCCGGTGAAAGGGAGTCTTTTTCAGAAGTGATTCTGGGAAGAGGAGAACAAACCAGAAAAAGAGGACTCAGGGATTTCCTTGTTTATGAAAGGAGGAAAAGAGTCTACCTGAATTCTTTAATTCCATGTTGGCTTGTAGATTTCTGATGTTTGGATCAGACCTAAGGAGGCCATAACTGAGCTGTTACTGCCTAGGCAAATCTTTCTGGGAATTTTCTGGCTGGGAATTTTGCAAGTTCAATTTGAGCCTATTTGCAGGGATGCCAGTTTGAGGAAGCTCAGATAATCCCAGCGTTCTGCTGCAAGTATTTTCTATGCTTCTGATAGCCGAGTCTTCTTTTGTGATTTAAAATGTTAAGGAACATTTCAAGCCTACACATGCACAGATTTGTAAAATGACTATATGTCAAAATTATACTCAAGTACCCCCATCTAGATTCTAAATGGCTGTGTGTTTATATGAAACATTTAACTAGTTAAAGACCTAAGAAGGGATCCATTATCATGTGTTAGTATGGTCATTATTAACCTCGGTTGGTTCTTTTATGGTTTTAAGGCTTTTGCAACACTTCTCGGTCTTGGATGGGTTGAGCCTGAGCCTGTTCCTCCCCATCCAGATCCGTACGGCCTCCAGGCACCGGGACATCACTTCAAGGGCATCGTTGGGGTGATCCGGGGTGGAGATGTACAGCTGGGTGTCGTCAGCGTACTGATGGTACTCCACCCCGAAACCATGGATGATCTCGCCCAGTGGCTTCACATAAATGTTGAACAGGCGAGGCGAGAGGACTGACCCCTGCGGCACATGGTGTGCCGTGGTATGTGTGGTTGTGTCAATGGTGAGTTTCAAAATTTTTTACTACCGGTTCTGTGGGTGTGGCTTGGTGGGCATGGCATGGCTTGGTGGGCATGGTAGGGGAAGGATACTGTAAAATCTCCATTCCCTTCCCAATCCAGGGGAAGGTTACTGCAAAATCCCCATTTCCTCCCGATCGGCTGGGACTTGGGAGGCAGAGAATAGATGGGAGTGGGGCCAGTCAGAATTTTTACTATCAGTTCTCCGAACTACTCAAAATTTCCGCTACCGGTTCTCCAGAACTGGTCAGAACCTGCTGAAACCCACCTCTGGTGTATGTGTGTGTGCGCAGAGGTTGCCCATGCAAAGAAAAGGGAAAGCAGATGGAGATCTAAGACTTTTTGGAAGCATGGGTTTCATCTTTTTTTTAAAGTTTTTTTATTTATTTTCCATTAAAAAAAAAATAAACGTTTCATCTATCCTTAAGCAGTGTGTCATCTTGTAGGGAAGCAAGTTACTGACCTAGATAGATTTTGCTCTAGAAGGGTTTTCATATAACTTTCTTTGAAGAAAGCATAGCCAGCACGGTATGTAGCTAGAAAATGACAATTCTGACTGCAAGATATATGTCACTTACCAACAGTTGTGTTACAGAGGGTGACAACTGTAGACCCTTCCTGCAAGTGGGTGGCCATTAGGATCTGGATCAGTGACACATAGAGATCTTGCTGGGATTCATCTGTTTCATCAATCCCAAGTATCCTTTCTGCAGCAAGCCAGAACTTGGTGAGCTCTTCTCCTGTAGAAATTAGAACATTGATTTTGCCACACCTGTAGTCCCCAACAATACCAGATCCTAGCAAAATAGTTCAAGTCAGTGTTTCTTTCTTTGTTTTTTTGCAAAAAAAAAAAATTAGGTTTATCTCTGGAAATTCTTGAATCCCCCACTGGTCCCCAAGGAAATATTCCTGCAATAAAGCCAACCTCTGGGATTGTGGTATCGTGGACATCAGGTATGAGAACATGACCAGAGTTGCTGTATCAGTAACATTGGTGGGATAGAAATTCAATGAATGAATGAATGAATGAATGAATGAATGACATAGATAGTAGTTCTATTGTCTAGTCTGAGAATTTAAATAAGAAAAAAGATTCATGGTTAAAGAAACCAGGCTAGAAACCAGAAGATCTGGATGACTTTGGCTCAGTTACTATCTGTCAGTCTAGAAAGAATGTAATGGCAAGTCACTTCCAAAAATATTGCCAAGAGAGACTCCAAAGCACACATAGGATGCCACTTGTGGATTGATCTTAACTAAGTAATTGCCTATTGTTTGTATCAAGAGGAGCTCTGTAAAAGTGCTCCTATTAAGGGCACTTTGCTGTCTGGCAAGAAACAAAACAGAATTTGAAGTGGGTGTAAAGAAAGACCTAATGCTGGCCTTAAATTAGTGGAGCTGATATTTATTTATTTATTGGTTCGATTTATATGCCGCCCTTTTCTGGAGACTCAGGGCGGCTTACAATGCGTTAAGCAATAGCCTTCATACTTTTGTATATACCTGCTTAGTAGGGCTTTCGCCCCCCCCCCCAAGCGGTGTTCTTTTTTATACAAAGTCAGCTTATTGCCCCCACAAACCAGGTCCTCATTTTACCTACCTCGGAAGGATGGAAGGCTGAGTCAACCTTGAGCCTGGTGAGATTTGAACTCACAGTAATTGCAGGCAACTGGTGTTACTTAACAGTACTTAACAGTGCTTTAGTCTGCTGCGCCACCAAGGATATGAAAGCATTCTCATAGGGGTGCAGTCCCACTCTGCCTTTTTCTCCTCCAGGAGAAAGCAAATGAATAGTCAAAGCCACCCTAAAGAAAGCTGATGGGCTGCTGTCTGTGCAAATGCACCTCTGGGTGACTCCCCTCTTCCCAAAACAGAATCTCTTTGATTTCATTTAATAAAAGAAGGGTGATGGCAATGGATATTTCTATTTGCCCCATGGGAGAATGTGCAAGACTGACCAATAAATCAGAATGTGATATTTAAGCATCTTTCTTTAGTTAGCAAATCTGGATATGCTTATGCCATAACCAAAAATGTGCTCTTCACCAAAAGGAAGACTAAATGGGAATACTCTTACCAGCTCCTTAATTGAAGGCAGAAACCATAAAGGAGATTGTTATAAGATAAGAGGCTGCCCTAATTTAATCAGCATCCCTAGTGTTTGTCTCCCTTTGGATATGGTGGCTGGGCTACGGTGACCCCCCTAGAGAGGCTAGCAAAAGACAAATCAAATTCTGACACTTTGCTGACATCTTGTGGCAATCACTATTACTGCAGCACAGATATGGTAACCTTAGACTAGGTCAGGGGCCAGCAACCTGTGGCTATGGAGCCGCATGTGGCTCTTTCACCCCTCTGCTGCGGCTCCCTGTCACCAAAATATGCATCACAACTGCCAATGTGTGACACCCGCCAGCATGCAATTTATTGAGCTTTTCAACCCCCAGTAGGCCAACCATGGATAAATCCAAGAAAAGAAAAGTTTCCGAAGAAAACAGAATGTTTAATTCAACTACATATGCTAGTTTTGTGGCCGCTCAAGAAATAATCAGGCACAGGGACTTCCGGTTTCCTTGTCTTCGGCGGCGGCGGTGCCTTTTGAAGCTCCGCCAGCCCCGCCGCTTGTAGAGCCGCTTCGCAACTAAGAAGCGGCTCGAAAACTTCAAAATCCTTAGGAATTTTGAAGAGAGATCGCAGGGCACAGGTTGAGCCCCTGCAACCCCCCCAGGGAATAGGGGAGGGAACAGGAGCGGCTCCCGTTCAACCTGCTGGACTCCGGGCGGCGTGGGACAAGTCTGCTTTTGCAGAACAAGCCGGCTACAGGAAACTTCAAATTTAAAGGAAAGGAATTAGCCTTAACAAGCAGCATATTTCTACTTGAACCCTGAAACTCGGAATCACAAGTATTAGAGTTTTCTTGGCTTTCTAATCTGAGCGAAAAAATGCAGATGAGTGAAAGTGAACTGTAAAAACATGGCGCTTAGCCTTAGAGTTAACGAGCTGGCGAGTGTGGATTGCTGAACTCATCTTGCTTTGTCACAAAGTTTCTAAACTGTTACGAAGTTGCTTCGCTTGTAACAAGAGAATAAGAGAGAAATTTCTCCCTTTTCAATACTGGACTTTGCTTTACTTTAGTTTTTATTTGAATAAATCTGGGGGACTTTTTCAGAAGTCTTTGTGGAGGTGGAAGAAGAACTTCCCTTTTTAGTAAAACTAGCTTACGTGGCAGGATGGCCTCAAAGAAGCAGGAAGTGAAGGCAACAGGAGGTGGATCTCCCACACATAAAACACAGCCTCCCCCTGAACAACAGATACAGATTCAGAAAAAAGATTTTGACGTGGGAGATTTAAAAGAATTTATTTCTAAAATTCTGGATGATAAATTTCAAAAATCTCAACAGGAGATAGATGACAAACTTCAAAAGTCACACCAGGAATTTATGCAGGAAATTAATGAAGTTAAAGATATGGTGAAACAGAATCAAAATAAGGTGACCAAAAAAATATCAGAAGTGGCGTCTGGCCTGGCAGAATTTATTATTAAAGTTAATTCTAAAGTTGAAGAATTTAAATCAGAAGTTAATGTTAAGATGAAAGACAATGATTATAAAATTGCTGATGTTGACAATAAAATGCAGAGAGTTGAAAATGAAATTGTGATGGTACAATTCAGGGCAATGGAGTTTGCAATACGGCTTCGAGGAATTCGAGAAGAGGATAGACAGGATTTGAGACAGGTCTGTTCTGAGGCTTTGGCCAAGATTTTACAAGTTAATTCCGATGTGGTTTTTCACAAAATAGATAAAATTTATAGAGTGAATTCTTGGGTGGCCAGACAAAGACAATTGCCCAGAGATGTGGTCATATATTTTACAGACAGAGAAATAAGAAATGACATCCTGCAAAAATCCTTTTACACCTCTGTGCAAGTGGGGGGCTCACGAATTGGAATTTTTAAAGAACTACCCCCTAAAATGTTGAAAACCAGAAAAGAATTCGGCTTTCTTGTTAAAGAATTGCAAAATCAACAGATACCATTTCGGTGGGACGCCCCAGTTGGTATAATTTTGAGATACAAGGGAGAAAGATATCGTTTGAACACCGTGGAGAAGGCAGAGCACTTCTACACTACTATTCTTAAGGAAAGAACACCATCCCCACGTACATCTACAGTTTTGGAGATTAAGGAGAGTGATGAGAAGCAACCTCAACGAGAATTGCAAGAACAGTCTAAGCAGGAACCAGAGGAAATGCAAGGCGCAGAAGGAGGTTTTTTGGATGAGCCTTTGCTGGAATCTTCTCCAATCTTGGACCCGGTTCGGATGATCGAAGTTAAGGATCAACGTATAACTCGAGCTCAATCTAAATTACTTAAACAAAAGCAACAACAACAACAGGAAAGACAAGACAAGAAGGGAGCTAAGACTACTACACAAGAGACTGGAGCCATGGGGGGAGCGACTCCGAAGATCGTGGATGATATTCGGTTATTCTGCTCTTTGCTCCAGAAAGATGAAGATGATGCTTAAGTGTTTATCTAGGAATGTGAATGGGTTGAATTCAGCACAGAAAAGGAAGAAATTATTTACATATTTGAAACAATTTAATAATGATATAATTTGTCTACAAGAAACGCATATTACAGTTCAAGATCAAAAATACTTGATAAACTCCAAATTAGGAATACATTTTATATCTTCAACGTTGCAAAAAAAGAATGGTGTGATTATCTATGTAAATAAGAAATTTACGGCTAAAGTTATAGAAACAGATGAAGATGGTAGGTTTGTAGCAATTGAATTACTTACAACATTTGGCCAAATTCTTTTGATAGGAATTTATGCTCCCAACCAACAACAGGATTATTTTTATAAAATGTTACATACTAAAATACTACAATGGGACTATAGATCTATTTTAATTATGGGAGACTGGAATGGAGTAATAGACTCTAAATTAGACAAAAGAAGTTCAGCGAAATCTAGGATTAGGTTACCTCAGACCTTTTTCGATATGAAAGAAGATTTGGAACTAAAAGATATTTGGAGAATACATAATCCAAAAGAACTGGATTATACTTTTTATTCAGATAGACATAGATCCTTCTCTAGGATTGATTTTATTTTGTTGTCAGATGATTTACTTGTCAAGACAAAAAGAACAAAGATTTTTCCAAGAATTTTGACTGACCATAGCCCAGTATGGATAGAAATTGAGATGGATAAGGTTGAGAGACGTTCTTGGAGATTAAATGAGAACTTGTTTAGATATGAAAAAAACACAACAGAACTTAAAAAGCATTTGAAAGAATTTTTTGAAATAAATTTGAATAAAGGTACCCCAATAGAAATTGTGTGGGACGCAAGTAAAGCTTATATGAGAGGGGTACTTATCTACATGAACTCTAAACATAGACTGTTTCGACAAAAGAAAAGATCTGAATTGGAAATAGAAATAAAGAATAAAGAACAGTTACTTATTAAAAATCCAACAGATGAAAGAATATGCGGTGCTATAAAACTTTTGAAAGACCAATTCCAAATGCTTATGGCGGAACAAGTTGCAACAAACTTACAATATGCGAAGCACAATACATTTTGTAACGCTAATAAACCGGGCAGATGGTTGGCTTACACATTGAGGAAAAAACAAAGTATACGGACTATTGATAGTATTGATATTGGAGGGAAAGAAATTTTTCAACAAAAATTAATTAAAGAAGCTTTTGTGGACTATTATACCAAACTATATGCCAAAGAGGAGGTGCAGAATGGACTTATAGAAAAATATTTAAACGATAAAAGAGTTACAAAAATTACTGATCAACAACAGGAAAGAATGAATTATCCTATAACAGAGGAGGAGATAATAGTAGCAATTAAACAGCTAAAAACAGCCAAAGCTCCTGGCACGGATGGTTTGACCGCAGTGTATTACAAAACTTTGCAAGCTGAAATGGTGGAACAACTCAGAGATTTATTTTGCAATATTCAACAAGGGGGTAAAATACCCCCATCATGGACAACAGCTTACATATCTTTGATACCAAAAGAACAAGTTGGTCCTAAAAAACCAGAGAATTATAGACCAATATCTCTTTTGAATACAGATTATAAAAGCTATGCGAAAGTACTAGCCAACAGGTTGATGCCAGTAATCCAAAAGGTGATTCATGATGATCAAGCGGGATTTATCGAGGGCAGACACATGAAGGATAATGTAAGGCAAGTAATAGATTTATTGGAATATCTTGAGAAGCATAAACAGATTCCTGCAGTGCTGGTCTTTTTGGATGCAGAGAAGGCCTTTGATAGAGTGGATTGGAATTTTCTACTAAAGACTTTAAAAAAGATGGATTTTGGGGATCAATTTATACAGGCGATTTCAGCAATTTACCAAGAGCAAAAGGCACAGATCATTATTAATGGAAGTTTGACAACAGAGTTTAAAATTGAAAAAGGAACAAGACAGGGATGTCCGTTGTCCCCACTTTTATTTATTTTAACACTAGAAGTCTTGCTAAATACAATACGGGATTCTAATATCTTGAAAGGTATAATGATTAGGCAAGAGGACTACAGAATAAAGGCATTTGCAGATGATCTGGTTGTTACCCTATCACAACCAATGGAATCAATAATCCTGATGAAGGACATTATACAAGACTATGGTAATGTTTCAGGTTTTAGACTGAATCCAAAAAAGACTAAAATGATAGCTAAAAACATGACACAAGATGGTAAACATGAGCTTGAAAGGAGGGCAGGTTTTGAGACTGTACCTAAGGTAAAATATCTAGGAGTTCAGGTTGCAGAATCAAACATGAAATTGTTTCAAAATAATTATGAGGTGTTGTGGCGAGAGGTGCAGAAAGACATGGAGACTTGGAAAAAACTGCAGCTGTCTCTACTTGGAAGAATAGCAGCAGTTAAGATGAACATTTTGCCAAGATTTCTTTTTTTGTTTCAAATGATCCCGGTGCTTAAAAGTGATAAACAACTGAAAGTCTGGCAAACTGGAGTCAATAAGTTTGTCTGGAATGAGAAAAAGCCGAGAGTGAAATTGAAAATTATGCAAGATGTTCCAGAAAGAGGAGGTCTTAAACTTCCAAACCTACAGTTATATTATGATGCAGCAGCTTTAACTTTAGCAAGTGATTGGTTTGGAAGGAAAAAGGCTGGAATATTGAATGCAGAAAGTTTTGATCTTGAATTTGGATGGCATGCTTACTTATTTTATGATGACAAAGTTGATAAAGTATTTAAAAGTCATATACTTAGAGACTCTTTGATGAGAGTTTGGAAGAAGCACCGACTCAAATGGGATTATAAAATACCGCTATGGCTGGATCTTGGTCATACTTTGTGGAATACAAATATAATGTCACTCGGGGGGGTTTTATACAAAGAGGTTCTTTTTACAGATGCGGGCAGATGGCAGCTGAAGACATTGCAGACATTGTTGGACGAAGGGATTAATTTAACTTGGTTACAATATAATCAATTACAATTGAGATGGAAAGAGGACCAAAAAACTGGTATTATGTTGCACGAGGAAGAATTGGTTAGACATATAAAAGAGAAAGGTCCAATGCATATCAAAAGGCTTTATAATGTTTTGCTAGAAAGGGATTCAGAAACTGAATTAGTTAAAGATTGTATGATTAAGTGGGCACAAAATTTTGAAGAACCAGTGATGTTGGAAACATGGGAAAAAATTTGGGTTCAGAATGTTAAATTTACACAGTCGCAGAACCTGAGGGAAAATTTCTATAAAATGTTTTATAGATGGCATTTAGATCCCAAAAAGTTGTCATGTATGTACCCTAATGTTCAGCCAAAATGTTGGAGATGTGAATGTTTGGATGCTACGTATTATAATGTTTGGTGGACCTGTAGGAAAGTTAAGGCTTTTTGGATAAAAATTTGGTGGGTCATGCAGAATGTTTTGAAGAAAAAAATTCAATTCTCTCCACAATTGTTTTTATTGGGTATAGTTAAGGGTTTTACATCGGGTGAAACAAAACTGATATTGTATATGATAACAGCAGCAAGATTGTTGATAGGTAAATATTGGAAAAATGAAGCTTTGCCCACTATTGAGGAATGGACTTTGAAGATGGCCAGTTTTGCAGAGATGGCGAAGATTTCAGCATACTTAAAAGATTGCTCACAAGAGACTTATGAATGGGAATGGAAAAGATGGATAGAATATGTTCAGAACAAATATCAAACTAGAAAGTATCAAATAGCTTTTATTTGAAAATAATGTATTAGAAATATTTTAATGTAATGAGGGTAAAAAGAAAAACTATAAAGGGGAGGGAGGGGTTCAAGTTTTTACATAAGTGTTATATTAAGGGGTTTTTTTTGGTGTTTTTTTTAATCTTTCTTTACCAGTTATGAGTACATTATAGGGAAGTCTGGGGGGAGGGGAGGGTTAGGGAGGGTTAGGGAGGTTGGGAAGTTTGGGGGTGGTGGTGGGGGGGGAAAAGGGGTGAAAATGTAATTGTAAAACTTTTGCAATAAAAAAAAAAAGAAATAATCAGGCACAGGAAGGGTTTTGTGGCTCCCGGTGTTTTCTTTTCTGTGGGAAATGGGTCCAAATGGCTCTTTGAGTGTTTAAGTTTGCAGACCCCTGGACTAGGTAAAGTAAGAGTTATGCTTCCTCTCTGCTTTTATATCTATCCCAACCTGCAAATCCTTCCTCTTTTTCTTTTTTTTTTCTTTATCAATAGCAGGTCGTAAGATTTTTTTTCCTAGTAGCCACTGATTAGAACAGTCTTTTCCTCTTTTCTTTTTCTTCTCTTTTCACTTTTTTTGCATTTGTGTTTCCAAGGCATACAATTTAGGACAGTATGGCTGAAGGCTGGTATGATTTATTTTTATTTTATTTTATTTTATTTTTATTTTATTCATATTTATATGCCGCCCTTCTCCCGAAGGACTCAGGGCGGCTCACAACAATAAAACAACAATGATCACAGCTAATCTCTTTTGCTGATCATATCACCTACACCAGGTTTTGCAATGTTTTCTAAAGTGGGAAAAGGCAGGAAATAACTGCTCAGATCATGGAAGGTATATTCATTCTAGCTCTGTAGGATTTCAGCAAGAACGTTTAGCCAGCCCATTAAATTTCAAACAGTCAAAGATTGGAACCAGGGGCCTCTTCCTATTTTTCATTTTTTGAGCTATAGTTCTTCATTGATCTGGGAGACGAATCATTCAACTCTCCTTCGCCCTGTTTCTCTAGGAATGTGATTTCTGGTGCTGCCTTGACTACCTGCCATTCCTTGCATGAAGGACCGAAAACGCCACATGCCTCTACTGCCAGCAATGCATTTCTCAAGCAGCCACTGATCAGCCTTTCTCCATCGCAACATCTCCGCTGCAAAGCAAAAGCAAAGACAATGTCACCAGAGAATGTTTTTGCAGGGGTGGAATGGGGTCCTGCCCCATGGCTTAGAAATTACTTGTTTTTGTACCAAAAGTGACAAAATAGAGGGGAAAAAGAAGGCAGGTCATCAACTGGGCTTGCTTTCTCTTTCTCTTCCCTCCTAGAAGAATGAAATATTTAAAAAGGCAGAATATTATATTTGCCTAAAAGAGAAATGGAAATCTTAAGGGAGACAGAAACTCAGCCCCAACTCCCTACCCCCAGAAGATATTTGGTGCCCATTAAAAAGGACTGGGCCAGCCTATCTACAAGACAAAAGACCTTCAGCTCCAGGGTGATGGGATTAAGACATGACCCGCCAGGACATAATAGGATTATCTAACAGCAGGGCTCACTGCATTGCAAAATTATCTGGGGACATCGCATTACCCTCCAGGATTCAGCCAAACTTATCTCAGACAAACTCCTAGCATGGGAATCTGACTACAGCCAATAGAATACATTTCTTGCACAAGAACAGGAAGCTCAAGGGCAAGGCCCAAGTGAGCAGGGGTGAAATGCTACTGGTTTGAACCAGTAATGATGACGGCGGGTGGGTCGGAGAACCGGTAGCAATGACAGCACAAGGCTCCACCCACCCATTACTTCCTGGTTTTAACCAGGAAGTAACCTGTTTTTACCCTCTGCACATGTGCAGAAGGGTTGGTGCATGTGGAGAGGGTCCGTGCGCAAATGTAACACGTGCACTTCCAAACTGGTAGGGAAGGTAAATAGATTTCATCCCTGAAGTGAGGGTATGAACAACCCTCACTCTTCACTCCATGTGGTCACCTGCCTACGACCTCAAACCCATGTGGTTCTATTCATCAATAAACCATCTTTCCAATCAGCCTCCATGTTTCCAGTGTCTTTCTCTCCACTTGGAACTGAACCAGATGGATATTTCTTCCAACACTACTGAAAAGGCCTGGAATTAACTTCCATATCAGCTGATCCAATGTATTTATTTAATTATGCCTGGCTGTCCACTGAAAAACCCATCACTTGCTTCTTTCTATGTTAATATAATTAATCCAGCTGCAGTTTTCAAATCCATTACTAGCCAGCCAGTTTGCACTTCCGATTTATAAGATCAAAAGCTTGTACAATGATGGAGCACTCTGTAACAAGACCCATCTGTCTGTTTTTAACTAGAACCACTTTCATAGGAAATGTCCAATGAATGGTGATCTTTTATATAGCAAAATCTGCCTCCAACAACTGTAATTTTAGTGAGCGGATTAGCTTAAGTACACTTTTGCATAAAGTGTAAAGATATAATGTGGCAAAATGCAACTATTTCTTGAACAAATGTATAAGCTTAGTGCTGATTTCTTTTAAATTTTTGTCTTCAGGTCATTGTTGATTCCTGGTGACTGCTGGACAAGTTTCTGCAGGTTTCTTGGCAAGTTTTTTCAGAAGTGATTTGCTATGACCTTCTTTCTAGAGTAGAGAGAAAGTCACTGGCCCAAGGTCAACCTATTTGCTTTGTGCCTAAGGTAGAAGTAGAACTCATGGTTCTCCAATTTCTAGCTGGTCCCTTAACCACTATACAAAACTGGTCTGTTGGAGTTGATTTAGTGACAGTTTCTTGGCAACAACATGCAAAGTGTTGGAGAACTTGAAACAGATGGGCAGGGCTTACTGCTTAATAAAATGTGCCTTCCCTGTCTTGTCAGACTCATAACATTTGGAAAATAAGGCTAAGGTTAGTGTAATACACAATTATTGCTGGGTAAATCATTGGTTCCTTTCTGATTGTTGACCAAGCTGGTCTAGTAAAATAGCTACTTACTGAACAGAATCTATAATTCCTTAAGTAAGGATAACAACAAAACATCTGCATGATCAATACTTAGCAATGGAAAGTTTTTGCAGAATTTCTACTAGGTTTAATTCATTTTGGTTGGGACAGCATTGGTAAGTAGGGCTCTGGAGTGCTTAAGGCAATGCTGGAGTGCAAGTGTAGTAGCTGTTTACAAACCTGGATAGTGGCCGTGTCTCTTTCTAGACTTGTGTGACAACAAAGCAAAGGTTCAATTCCAGAAAAAAATTAGGGCTGCAATAAGGACTTGCAGTCGGGTGCTATATTCATACTTCTACACATTCTGAAGGTTTTTAGAGTCACATTCAAAGCAGCGCTCTTAACGGTGACTGAAGGGCCTTTCATTAAATGGCTCTATTAAAGTGTCATCTACATGGTCTTTAGCTAGCAGGAAAATTGATGGTCGAAAAATTGCTATCAATCCCTATCCTGACTCTTGCTCCTGCCCTAGTTTGCCATTGGATGGTAGAGAGCTGGTTCATACAGGTTATGTTATGTAAAGTCATTGGTTGAGCCATTGCTTGGTTGCCCCCACTTTTTTTGTCAGCAGTTGAGGTAACCATCTGCCAATCAAAGCATTATGATGGAGGAATGTTTTTGTCAGATACTTGGAGTAGCTTTCTGTCACAACCTGATACTTCCCTCAGTGCATAGAATAGCTGATCCATGGAATGGATCAAATTCCCTCACTTTACTCAACAGCTCTTGATAACCAACTTGTTTTGACTGTGAGTTTAGCACAGTACTAAATCTATGTTCAAAAGAAGCCTATTCAGCTCTTAATCATTAAAGTGCTTCATAATGTGAGACATGTTCACCTACTGAATTGAGTAGCTTTCCACCTCAAATCCAGTAGTGGGATTCTACCGTACTTAAGTAGTTAAGCAGTTTGGAGAACCAGTTGTTAAAAGAAATCTTTTGTTTTTTTTTCACTTTACAGGATTAATCCTGTAAGGAATTACAACATTCGGTGTTGTTTCCTAGCCTAATCTTTATTGCCCTGCTTACAGAAACTGCCTCTCTGGTTCCGGAGGTTCTTGGAGGTTTTTTGTTTGTTTGTTTGTTTGACTTTCTTAAAGGGGAAGGGTTGTTTTAAGCTTTTTATACCACTGTTGGGAGGAAATACTCCCTTGTTGGAGTTCTTCCAGCCAGAGTGCAATGATCAGCACTTTGAAGAAATAATTGAATAATGAAGCAGAAACTTTTAAGGACAAAGAACCAAGATGAGTGACATTCAGCAAGGCTTATTGGCTAGCTAGAAAGATTGACATTCAAACGTGTGTTTACATACCCTTTCTGACTTTTGGTCTAAAACTGGTTTTTGGTGAAGTTTAATTCTGTGCTTGGTGATATTTAATCCTGTGGTTAGGGATGAGATAATTTTCCCTATTCAGCTTTGTTTGGAAGGAAAAATGTTAATCTCTGTTCCTGAAAAGAAGCAGCTTTGGAAATCTGACTAGTTCTGTGTTTATTTGTTCTGGTAATTGGTTTAACAAGCAACAGATACTCTCTTTGCTCCTTTGCTTCATTCTGGAGAGCTTAAATGACCTCTCTGTTAAAGGGTTTCACTTTATGAGCAAGAGTTGGCTGCTGATAGTTATCATTGCATTTTAACTATTTTAATTCCTCAAGGTGCTCTGGCACCCTCCCTGATTTGTAACTCCAGTTTGCAGGTATTTCTAATCTAATGATTGGTATTTAGGGCAGCTTTTTGCAAGCAAATAAGCTTTTTGTATTTTTGTACAGGTAATCCTTGATTTACAACCGTTACAATGGCACTGGAAAAAGTGACTTATGAGTTGAATCATATGTTCCATGGGACTGAATGCAGGCTTCCACCACCCACCAAAGTGCTAAACCCACAGTCAAAACAAGTCTGCCAGACAACTAACAGCAGGGCTCGTTTTGAGTGTGAGTTTTGTGCTCTTTCTATCAAGGAGGCAGTCGAGCAGCTTATATGTGAACTTCGGAAAGTAATGGGCCCCGTCATTCAATCCATTGTCATTTCTCCAGAAATCTGTAGCTCTTTCCATTAGAACATCTTCCACTGGGATTGTTGAGTTAGTAGTGCTTGTAGGAGTAGTACTAATATTACTGCCTGTTAGCTCTGCCCTTGAGTAGTTGTTGGAAAATTTCCCTTTCCCCTGGACAAATTCAGAGACATTGTCTATCCTGCATCTCTACCCAAAAATAAGGTGCTCAGTTTCCAAAAATTCACCCCACCCCAAAAGACCCCCTGTCCTGTCTGTTAATTTAATATATTTAGCTTCAACTCTCACCTGCCTCTGGAGAACGGATGAAACTGACAAGCTCCTCACAGAGTACATAGTGAAGAAACAGATTTGTTTTGCAGAAGAAAGGCAGTCGATGCTTCTCCATCCAATTCAACAAGCCTTTGTGCTTTGATACCTGTATGAGCCCCCAACAGAGCAATGAAACTTTTTTAAAAAATAATCTGCATGAGCCAAAGCTTAATGCAAGAAAAGAATCGCCATTTTTTATTGAGATTAAGCAACCAGTATCTTCTGGTTCCCATGGCAATGGCACAAAATTTGGCCACCATTCTAGAGACTTCCCAATGCTGATGATATAGAAGTCAGAAATACTGGACCTGAATGTACTCTAAGTACAGAAGAATGTAACAGGAGTAAAGAGTATGAATTAAGAAATGAAAGAAGGAAAATGAGTATATTATATGCCTGTAGAGCTAAGGGAAAGGAAAAGGAGAAATAAATCTGAAGCTGTAGATAAGTGACAAAAAAAAAAAACTGGAACAAGTAGATGAATTTGTGTACCTTGCTAGATTGTTTACTAAATATGGGAACAGGATGGGTGAACTAGATTTAATGCATCTTATTTTCTTTTCTCTTATCTCCTCCTTTTATTTCTTTTCGTTTACTGCTAGACTGACCATTCTGATTCCTGGAGACCAAATGGTGTCCTGTCTCTGTAGCCATAAACTACAGGACAATGACCCCTGAAATAATCACACAGAACTGAAGAAGCTTCTTGGATGAGAAGCAAAATGTCTTCAAGGAAAAACAAAGTCCAGTTGCCTTTTAAAAAAGCACCCTTGGGACAAGCACACAGTCTCATTTGCTCCTAAAAAGAGAACATAAATAGATAGAATTTTGGACATTATGTTGAAAAACACTAATTGTTACATGCAGACTGTTCTGGGTTACCCAAAGAAGTTGTTGATATAAGGTATAGGTGTATGTGTGGCTACAAATTCCAATTCACATCATCAAATGTTACATTCTTTCAAGAATTGACCATAAAAGATAAGTATATTCTGATCAAGCATCTTCTTTCTGTCTTGATTTGTGCTGAGACATTTTTAATATAATTTGGGCTTTCAAAGATTTTTTGTACTTTAATCTTATGGAAAAGAATTACTAGTAATGACAATGATTAGACTACAAGCCTGTATTGAAGCTACATTTAATATGCTATAGTTCCCAGATTTGGAATAAATCAATGAGGTCCATCCTCCAGTGCATAATTTTACAACACTGAAAAACCATACCTGGTTGCATGGTAATTCTGGCCACAGATACCACTGGCGCGTTCTGCAAATGAAAAGAGGTGTCTGACCAAACACCTGTAGAGAGAGATGAAGCGGAGGGGAGATTCACACATCTTGCTATGTCTAACCAGTCATATTACAGCTTAGCATGGTGTAGGAACCCAGCTGTATACAGGCAAGGCTTCCTTAGCAAAGCTGCTATTTAGGCTCAGATATTGGTGGGCTGTTCCTCCCTTCATCATAATTGCAGGGTATATTGGCTAATGCAGAGGCAACCTCATTCGGAGCAGATCACATTCTGTTTGACTGTAATTAATAAACTATGTTTAACAAATAAAATCAGGGTTGAAAATTGGCGATCGTTCTTAAGCAAGTAGAAATTAAAGAAAAAGAGATTTCAGTTTCCATAGATATAGACACACTTATTTTCTTTCCCCCCTTAGGCACTTATTCAGTGGATTTTCTGAAACACAACCCATTGCTCAAAAGAACATATGTGGAAAACGGAAGAAGAATATACAGGTTGTACTCAATTTAAGATCACAATTGAACTAAAATTTCTGTTGCTAAATGACACATTTGTTAAGTGAATTTTGCCGCATTCTAGGACCTTCCTTTCCACAGTTGTTGAGCAAATCACTGAAGTTGTTAACTTAGCAACACAGTTATTAAGTGAATCTGGCTTCCCTGTTGATGTTGCTTGTCAGAAAGTTGCAAAAGGTGACCACATGACCCCAGGACACTGCAACCAATCATAAATACATATCAGTTGCCAGGAGTCCAAATTTTGATCACATGACTGTGAGGATGCTGCAAATCGTTAAGTGTGAAAAATGATCATAAGCTACTTTTTCAGTGCCATTGTCACTAAACGAATTGTCGTAAGTTGTGGACTACCTGTATACTATGTTAGGAACCTTGCTTCAAGTAAATCTTGAATACATTGTAAAAAGAATCAAAGCAAAATATTATCTTCATGTCCTGCCTAGAGATAGATGTAGATGTGTAGATAGATGTAATTAGCACTTACTGATTTTTTAAAGCCATGTTTCTCAACTTCGGTATCTTTAAGCTGTGTGGACTTCAAGTTCCAGAATTCCTCAGCCAGTAAGGTTAATAGAAGCCTTACCAAGATCCAATCATATCTACCCTCCTTCTGTGTGCAGTGGAATGGAACTGGGGATTCTGGATACTCTCTTGATACAACATCAGTACCAAAAGATAAAATTTGGACTGGGATTACAATGTTGACATATGGTTAAATTCCCACTCTCCACACCTTACTTCCAGAAATGTAATTAGCAATTCATGCTAATTGCCTGAAAAATAGATCAGGCCTAGGAGATTAAAGATGTTAACAATTTCAGGGCCCTTTCTCAGAGGTAAGACCTGGCTGTGCCCCCTGAGGATGTACCCAGCTGAAAGCACTCTGTGCTTAGGATCAGGCCTCACCTTCATAAGTGTATCTTTATGTGCAGTACCTTTTTTCACTGTCTGGCTGATGCCATTTAGTGGGCATTAGGATTTTTGCAGCCTAGATATGATAGTCATACTATATGACATGTAGGATTGCAGAAGTGGTAGTAACAATCATGTGAGGCTCGTTTAAAACAGAATCCGATGCATTCTTTAAAAATACAATATTTGTAGTGGACTTAGTAATATGGAAAAATGAGCAAGAATTTGTCATTGTCCTGGTATTGTCCACTTGTATAATCTCATTAATTATACTCCATGTGAGTAAGAACCCATACAACACTTGACACAAAATTACGGCTTTTTTTTTGTATGAATAAACAACTTCTGTTATGCAGGAGAAAGAAGAGCATGCATTCTGAGAAGGATTAAATGTGGTCTCAGGTTCAATAACTTCAACCTCTGAGAATTTCAATTGTTCCTCATTTTTTCAAAAATTCTGTTAGAGTAGAGCTAAACAATACTGGACATACTTTGCCTTGGCTCAGAAGCTAAGCAGAGTAAGGTATGGTTTGTACCCGGATGGGAGACCTCCAGGAAATTCCAAAGCTGTAAGCTAGATGGGGAAGCTGAAAACATTCCAGAAAGACATGACAAAAACTGCTTTCATCCTGCCCTTAATAAAACTGTGTGGATGTGTCCATGCAATCACCATGAGTGGAGCCCATCTTAAAGGTGACTTCACCTTAAATCTGGCCTGAAAAAAATTGGATCAAATCTCTAACTTTTGCTGCCATCTAGTGCTATCCATCTATATGTTTTATCTCAAAATAGTAGCTATATATTAAGCCTTAACTGGGATCAAGAATATGTCTGAATCTAGAGAAGAAAATATTGGGATCTCTCCTTAGTGATCCAATACATCTGTTTGATGTTGTGTTATCACCACTTCACTGAAAGTACTAGTAAATATAAAAAAGAAATAATTCAGATCATGGTTACCAAATTTGCATAGCGCTATAGGCCAATGTGACAGGTTTTTGATAACTGGTTCATATACAGAAAATTATTCTTGATTCAAGAGGGAAACTTACAGGAAGATTCAGGAATGTGTTGAAGAAGTCTGTAAATATTTCATCTTTTAGCAGAACGGACAAATGCTTGCTGCCAATCAATTCTGAAAAGAGGAAAAACAATTATGACATTAATGAGCAGAAAATGTGAACTGGGGCTAATATATTATCATCCCTTGGGATATTTGCTTTCATATTCCTACAAAGAAACTAGACTATCCCACTAAAGCCTATGTACTTAATTTTCAAAGATGGTACATGCAGGGCCTCAACTAAATTTACTGTTGTGGCAATTTGATCTTCAGAAATACACCCTGGAAGATGCCACTAGTATGTCTATCTCATCTGGAACCTATGAAGCGGTAAAAACTCTATGTTCTGTCTGTCTTTAAAGGCAAGACAGACAGGTCAGGAAAAAGATTGCACAAGATTAACTGGAACTATGGTCTATTATTACATCTTACAGTAACATACATTTGTTGCCTGTTCTTTATTTGTGTAACTATCATCTTTGCCTACTTTTGCCAAGGTTATCCCTGTGGCTCTTTTTGTGTTCAGAATAAGACTGTACTCTCCAGCCTTCATTGCAGAGGAATATACCCGTAGTAGTGAGTAAAATAATCTGATACAAGCCTTTTGCAAATGGCTAACTGATAAGAGGTTAATTAGGGAAGAATAGCTGTACTCTTCTGGGGGGAGGGGTCATTAATTTGGGAGGCACATCTTTGGTTGTGGGAACCATTCTTGATTCCAAATTTTTGCAATTTGTTCAGAATCAAGAGACAAAGAGATTGATTTCTATTGCCACTTAGAGATTCTTTGCAGAAAGGTGGAACAGGAATATGAAGAGCAGACAACTCACTAGCTGTATTCATGCTGAGCTTGTCCTGAAGAAGACTGTTCCCTACTGAGCATTCTGTTATGTTACAATGCCTTAGATCTCTTGTTGTTCCAGCAGGTTCCACATTCCACCAAGACCCTTTCCTCCAATCAAGATCTCTCCAAATGTTTTCAGGTCATATCAACTCAACTTCAACAGTTTTCTTTTACACAGTTCCTCTTCTTACCTGCCACCTTAATCCATCACTTTGTGAGAGCAGCTCCCTATAGAGATCCCAAGGTGGAGATGATGCCCTATAGCTGAAAAATCTAATTTCATTAACCTACATTTTGTATGGAGAACTTTCCATGTGGTTCTTACTTATTTTTCATATTTGTATAGCCGTCCACCTCACATAATGACTCTGGGGGGCACTCAATGGATTGGAGACCTGAATGTACATCCTTCCTATGCAGGATGGCCTATAGACATAGATTTTGTATGGACACATATAATGAAATATGGGACTCATTCACACGGAATACACAGGTGTTTTTTTTATATGATAATTATATACATGTATTAGAAATACTTATCTGCTTGAATAATAATTCATTAGATAATTGTTTATAGAGTTCCATTTCCTCTTAAAATGATAATTTTTTCTTTGTCATATATTTTACTTTTTATTTTTTCTTTTATTTTACAATGCATATATTTTTCTGTTTTTTTTTTCATTTCTTTTTTGTCACCATTTTAAAGGCAATAAAAGAATAAATTAAATGTATAAATCAATAAGGGATGAAGGTGGCAATGTAATTATTACATCAGATACAGCTTCTAGGGAAACACAGAGCAGACTCTTAAGACAAGGAAAAGGATGGGCAAAAATTCCATTGACTTGAAGTGGCAGGAGAAAAAGTCCAAGAATTTAAACCCTGGGGCTGACCCATGCATAGGTCTTGATTCCTGTAAGAGGGAATCAGGGAAGCTTCAGCAGTTGCCAAATGTGGGATTCAATTTTCAGAGGGTTGGTACTAAAAGATTGCATCTAATCTATGCAGAATAAATCTTTCTTTGCTATTTGGTATTTACAGAGCAAAAGTGAGCCTTCCAATTATTGGGTCATGATCCATTGCTTAAAGATTTTCATTTTTCATAACACAGAAGTAGGAAGTTGAATAATCCTTTAAACTCCCAGAAGTTCAAGTGCCACCTTTTTCTTTGCAGCTTACCAAATAACCTTCCTTGGTGTTTATGATATAGGTAGTTCTTGATTTAAGGGGAATGGTTTTCTTAATTTCTGCACACAATCTATTATCTTGCATCAATTGTGCTCTCTGCCCAGTACTGGCAGTGAAACCTCTGAGTCATAATGTATCCAACTTTATTTCACCTGTAAACATAAGACCTTGATGCAAGGAGAAATGAAAGAAAAAAGCAACTTTGGTGCTAGAGAGAAACCTACACTTTCTATTCCTTCAGTTCTGCAAATATTTCTTGCCATGATAAGAGTGTCATGAATAAGTACTATTCTTGATAAACACCACAAAGAAACCAACACCCGCCTTTTCCTTCCTGTGTGTATGTGTGTTCTTCTCAAGAGGTGCTAGATCACATTTTGCTGGGCCAAAACTGGAAGATCAATAAACTGTTTTGGCCCATATGATAATGATGATTTCAGTATGTGCCTTTCAATCATTTCTGGTAATTCTGAGGTTTATTTTCACTTAAATACTCTTTTCACTCTGCTGCAAAGAAAGACCACAGTTCCTCTACCTCATTCCAATAGGCTTCCAAGAAATCATACGGTAGGGTCCAATTTCTAGAGTTCAGTTCAAGAATGGATTGTTCTTCTGTTATACACCACACTACTCAAGCATGTATTTTTAAAGTGAACTATTACTATTATTTATTGAACAGTAGTTTACTCAAAGAGAGGAATGGCTACACAAAGAATATACAGTATTATAAGGAGAAACACAAAACAATTTATAAAAAGTAGAAGGCAGTTACCAAAAAAATCTTAAACTTGTTCTTAATTGCTATATATTGTAAAAGTTAACAAAATTACACAGTTGCAATTGACATAATGAATATAATCTGTCCAAGCATGATAAAAGTGTGATTCTTGCCTTTGGAAATTCATCCTTATAAGTTTTTTTCTAATAGAGTATTTTTTTCTAATAAAAAAATTGGGAAAGCTTTTTGATCCACAAACCAATTGTTAAATTTTCAAGAAATTTCCAATGTTGAGCAATAATCAGTTTTGTTGCCAATAGCAAATAGACAATCAGCTTTTTATTTTGTATTGCATAAAGGGATATAACATACCCTGTTCTGAGACTATTCAAATCTTTGGTTGTAATAATACTAATTTCACTAAAAATGTGCAAAGCTGCTACTTTATTACATGTCTACCACATATGATAAATTCCCTTTTTTTACAGCCACCATGACATTTTGAGGTAATTTTATAGTATATGGAGTATAGTAGGAGTTAAAAGCCACTAATATAACAACTTTAACTTGCAAAATTTATAGTTCTTTGGGTACCAGCTTTAAGAATCTTGTCCATTTTTGGTAGTGGTGTATAGCAAAGATAGTGATTACACAGAGATGTAAATTCAAGAAAAGAGCTCATTTCCAGGATTATTTTCCTGTTTCATTTATTTCCCTGTTAAAACTAAAGTTATGGCTGAGGAGGTATTAGTTTTCATTTGACCCTCAGATTATTTACTGTGGATAAAATCTAAGAGTGAGCTACCAAAAATCAGCCTCAGGAAAAAAGCAAGATGTTACTTTGAATATAAATAATCTAATGATTCATTAGATATTGTAGAGCAGGGGTGTCAAACTCAATTTCATTGAGGGCCGCATCAGCGTTGTGTTTGACCTCGGAGGGCTGGGGGGGGGGGCAGGGTGGTCGTAGCCAGGGGGGGCATGGCCAGGGTAGGCGTTACAGCATTCAGTCTTCTGCAGCACTCTGCCAGCCAAAATGAGGCACAGGGGTTAATTACAAAATGTGAGCTTTGCTTTGTGACAGCCAGATCCAGCAAGCAAGGGGTGCGGCCTGCACAGAAAATACACTTTTGTTTGGTTATGAAGAAATATCCCCAAAGTCAGACTAAATGTAAACTGGCTTTTAGCTACACACCTTCCCAGCAAACAGCAAATTTTTAAGTTCCAGGTAAAGAGGATTCATTTTAGGGCAAAAAACCACAGTTTGTATGTTGGAGGTTCCTAAAGGAATGCTGGGAAACCCTGTAATTTAAAGAACATTTGAGGAAGGGGTGCAGAATAGCCCTTCTCTGCCTGAGGCTGTAGAGATCTGGCACCAATGAAAACACTAAGCTAAGGGATAAACAAATAAACAGATTTGAAAAAAAGAAAAGGCTTAGGAAAGAAAAAGAGTGAAAGTGTAAGAAAAAAAGAGGAAAGAAGGAAAACCAAAAAAGAATTACTTCCAACTTTCTTTGGTACAGATATAAGTAAAAAAATACACCAAACTCTTACTCTAAGATTAACATTTGTCTACATTATTTCCATAATCCCATATCTAATCATCAAAGTCCCAGATCAACCTTTAATTTCAGTTTCTCACAAAAAGTTCAGTAATGATTCATATCACTTTAATCACTATTTGTTAAAGAAACCACAATTGACTTTTTTAATTGCACCAAACTCTAAATAAAACAGGAATGAAAAATCCTAAAATCTAGTGTGGACCTATGCTTCTCAGTTTTGGCAACTTTAAGGTGCATGGATTTCAATTCCCAGAATTCCCCATGCAGCAAGAAATTTGCCCATCTTAAACTTGCCAAGACTGAAAAATGCTGACCCACAGATAGGAATTTTTCCTTTCCTCTATTACTGGTTCTTACTTACTTATGAGCAATCATAATGCAAAATCCTCACTTCCACCCCATTTCAGAGCAATCATAATGCAAAATCTGTAGTGGGTTTCAAATTCTGGCACTACCGGTTTGCTATCGGTAGCGCGCGGGCGCACGTGCTTGCTTTGCGAACGTGTGGCACTTCTGTGCATGCGCAGAAGCTTCTGCACATGTGCAGAGTGCTTTTGATGATGTCTGGGCGGGTGGGTGGAGCCTCCCACCATCGCCACTACCGGTTTGCCCAAACTGGGATGAACCTGTAGAAACCCACCCCTGTGCAAACTCCTCACTTCCACCCATTCCAGAGCAATCATAATGCAAACTCCTGACTTCCACCCATTCCAGAGGAATCATAATGCAAAAATCTCACTTCCACCCCATCCCAGAGCAACCAGAATTCCCTCACTAACCTGCTTTCCAGCTCCGTTTTCCTGTGTGCAGGGCAACAAAAGAAGACCATGTGACTACCAGTTTTTTTTTAAAAAAATGCAATGGGACCTTCCAACTTCTCAGGGAAAAAAGATCTTGCGATGTTAGAAGGTCTGACTAAACTTTTGTTTTTACTGGTAGTCACATGTTGCCCTGCATGCTGGAGAATGGACCTGGAAAGCAGGTTAGTGAGGGGATTGTGTTTGCTGCAGGACTTTGCAGGAGGCCATCCATGCCAAAAACAGGCTTTGGTGGGGGGGGCTGCACATATCCCATTTTCGCTAGCAGGGGGAACCGTGAGCTATTTCCAGGCTGGCCCCACCGGCTGGATCTAAGCACCCCACGGGTTAGATCTGGTCTGAGGGCCTTGAGTTTGACCCCCCTGTTGTAGAAGAATTCAAAGTTTTTTTAAAGAGACATAATTTATGAGTTTATACCAGGTATTTTTTAGACAATTCCTATTTTGGAAGTGTAAACTTGAACTGAGGGAGTTCTCCATGGTGCTGACTCTCAGCAATCCCTAATTGGAATTAGAATTTCAGTCTGGAAACAAATGTCATTCTCTCTCATCCGTGTATTAAAATCAGATCATAAATCGCCAGTGTTTTCCTGCATAAGGGGTGATGGTGGTGTTAAAGGGCAAAAGGCACTCTCTTTCCCACTCTAATTTTCCTTCAACTTTAAACAAAATTCTGAGAAGTCTTTTAGCTTACTAGCTCTGGAAAAATAAAATAAAAATCTGTATATATCTTTTAATTTTTGGCTAGATTAATACATTTCTTTTAACTCTTCTGATCAGCAGCTCTTACTCCAGACCATTTTGTCCCCCTCTTTTTCCAGTATTTTCCCAAAGGTTTTGCTTCAAGGTTGACAGCTAGCCCTCGCCAAACATCAGCCTGATTATGTATTTTTTTCTCTTTGAATGGAGAAATTAATTAGATTCCCCTGGACTTTCAGACAATTTACAAATATTTTTTCCTCAACCTCATAGTTATATTTCTTTCTACATAATTTTCTGTTATTTTCCTTTAATATTTAAGACTCATTGTTCTCAGCTGGGTCTGATGTGAGTTTTCCAGACTCCTTTTTCACTCCATTTGGTCACATTCAGGCCTCCAGAGAAAGAATTTAAAAAAAGAGAGAGCATAGAGTCACATTAATGCAAATGAGGTTTTATGTATTAAGCAAAGATTTACAATTAACAACCCAATGTAGATCATCTTAACAAATTGAAATATATTTTCTTCCCTGTGATTTTTGATCTTATAATAGGGACAGAAATATTTAACATAGACTTCTAGCCGTTGCTTTTGTATCATACATCAATTTCTGCAACTGAATTCTGAATAATCAGTTTAAAAGAAGAAAATGAAAAATGGCAGGCGTCTTTCAGACAAAACTGAACTTGGTTTTATTTTTACATTTTCTACCTCTGAAAAATCAAAGCAAAATGTTTCTTTCTAAAATGACAAAGAGTTCTTTGTGCTTGAAACAACTCTCCCTCTGGTCCATTAATGGAATTCCAATATTCACAACAGTTCTATTACAGTTTTTATGTTCCAAATTGACTTCTTTTATTCATTTAATATTGTGTAATTTACATTAAAATGGCAATTTGAAATCTTATATCTTATATTCATTGATGGTGAATAATGAATATTCATTGATGGTGAATAATGAATATTCAGAGGGGTGCATTACAGACTAAATTGATTTCTATAATTCACATTAATTTGAAACTTGACTTCTCTCTCAAAGCTTCCTTTATCAGTCACTTTATATTGATAATTTTAAAAAAAGAACACCTAAGAATTTTATTCTAGGTTAAAGTTCTGAAGCTGATCATCTGGAGGTCATTTATCCCCACCAGAGGTAACCATATAAATAACGCCTGATAATACAACTCCCAATCCAGTAACCCAAAATCCCTATTGCCTTTAGACTCCTGTAACATTTTCAGTCTTATTCTTGCTTTTTTCCCTTGCGAGATATATTTCAAAATTGTTTTATTCAATTCCTCAAAATATTTTTTCTCTAGTTTTATTGGTATTGTTTGGAATAAGAAAAGTAACTTCGGTAGTATGTTCACTTTTATACAGTAATAGCTATTCTCCCTATTATTGAGAGTTGTAGGTTCTTCCATTTCTCCAAGTCCAGCTTAATTTGTTGCATTAATTTTGTATAGTTATCATCTTTAATTGTTGCACATCTTGCTGTTAAGTAGATTCCTAAATATTTCACTTTCTTTACTATTTCAAGGTCTAACTTCTTTGTCAATTCATTTCTCTGCTTATCTGTAAGATTTTAAACTATTATTTTAGTTTTTTCTTTATTAATTTTCAATCCTGCAACTTCTCCATACTCCTCCATACTCCTCAAATACCACTGAAATATTAATGGGCTGAAAACTGAAATATTTTAATGTATATAATAGGTGCATAAGAACATGCCTTATTGTTCCAATGCTTTTTTATATTTAGGCAGACTATTGCTTGGTTTCTATTGTACTGGCAAAAATTAAGATTAGGAATGATACAGTTTATTTTCTAGCACATAAAGCAAAATCATGGATATTCTATGGAAGGTAAGATCTTTTAGATGCCACTTTTTTTCCTTATTTTAAAAATAAGTATTTTTTAGAACATGTCATTTCCTGGGAACATGGTTTGACATAAAAGAAATCCTCTGGATCTAAAGGAAACTGTGATGGTGAACTGCCTATGCCACACTCTAGTTCTGAAGTATTCCTTTTATGTGTGTTTTGGCCTAAAGCATGAAGACTGTTGCAAACAAATATGGGATCTGCTGTTATCTAAGCCCAGCTGGAAATACATCCTCATATTTTCAGCCTCTCTGACTTTTGACAGTAAGAGACAAACATGTCACAGAATTTGCTTTTCTATTTCAGCATCAGCTGCATATCAAAACAGAACATGAGGACTTATCAGTGTCTTACTTCTGGGGAATGCTTTCTGAGAACAAAGCATAAGGCTGAGGAAAATAGGAAGAGGATACAAAGTACTCACATTCCAAGTCAGCTCAGACTCCCAACATCTTTGGGAAGACAAACACCATGTTAAGTCATCCAGCTGTCCTAAAGAATGTGGCTGCCCCCATCTTCTCTTTTATCACAGAAGATAAGTGCTTAAGCTAAAAAATGTCCTTAGTTGTTATGGGAGAGATAAATCTCCTATTTTTTCTCCTAAATATCCATTCAACTCATTTCTGTCTTTGCAAAAGAGGCTTTTTTTGTTCATTTGTTTGTGAAACTGTTCATTTCCATGATCTAATGCAAAAGACTCTTACATCCTCACTCTGCATCTGGAAAGAGAATAAGTAAAATAGTCTGGCCTATTTCTTTGACAGATTCTTATTCCACTCAAACGATTCCAGCTTCAAATCTTGGTGCGGAGATGTGCTCTAGATAAGTTTTCCTATGCAAATCTGACCATGTTTCTAACTCAAATTTGATTACATGTAGATCAAATTATAAACTGTTTAAAGAAGATGCCCAATGTTAAATTGACATGGAACATTTGATTTGGGATATATCAATTCAACTAAACCTTTTCCTTGTTTGAATTTTATCTGTCAATACCTTGACAGAACTGGCATATAATGGCAAGAAGGCTATTTTCCTAGCTCTTAGATAAGATCTGTGTGTTTCTGTAAATGAATGACTCTTGTAAAATGATGTCTCTTAGATCTCATTCAGTTCACCAAATAATTATTATGAACCAATCTCTCTCTCTGTTTCTCTCTCCAATTGTTTGTGTGTGTGTAAATTTTTTATCCCATACTGAAAGTGATGTACCTACATCTTGATGATTTGATAAGCATAAAAGTAAAATGCAAAATGTAAAAGCATTTGAAACATTTGCAGTATAATTTAATCACAGGGGGCATACACAAATATACATATAAACATTGACAGAAGAAATATCTTGGCAAAAGGATGGATCTTCAGGCATAATTCACAACTATTAAGATTAATGCTTTCCAAATATAGGCGAGGGACTTACTTTTAAAAAGTAGGTGCCATACTAGGATAGCTAGAGAAATGGCAGACTTGCAAGCAGAAGACAGAACATTCATGTACAGTGATCCAGAAACATGAGGGGAAAAAATTAGCAATTGACAAGCTGCATGATCTGATCTGGCCCCCTCTCTCTGGAACATCATTCTCTCAAAGATTAGACTGGCCCCCACTCTAACACTCTTTCAGAAGGCCCTGAACACATGGCTCTGCCAGCGGGCCTGGGAATCCAGAATGGAATGGAAGCCATTAAATGGTTTATATGAAAGTATGTTGCCGCCAGGATGGGGGGGTTATTATTTCTTTTATTTATTTTTTTTCATATGGTGTTTTCATATCCATGTCAGCTGCCTAACATGCATTTCTTTTTCTAAAACAAATAAAGAAAGAACTTCTTTTGAACTGTATTTCTAGCAAAAGGCCTAGAAAAGCTATTATCTCTAGATCTAGCTATCTTTAAGGGTTTTGCTAAGATAAAATGATGCTCTTTATGCAAGCTAATTTGAGTGGCACAGAGGAAGTTTTCACAGTAGCCATGTAACTAATTTTATAATGCTGTGCATATGTACAGTATTACCATAGTTTCTACACTATTATTGCTGGATATTTTGTTTTCTTTTAATGACCTTGTAATCCCTTGCATTGGGGTAGAGTTGGGGCAACTGAACAGAGCTCGAGTGTTTATTGGCCAGATGCCCTTCCTGACACCTATGCAGAGTTCACAGCAGACAATTACTCATTGAGCCGAAAAAGACAAATATCTGCCACTACCTAGGATAGAACTCACAGCCTCCTGATTGTGAGATAAGAGCTCCACCTCTAGGCCACCACATCGCTCTATTGCTGGATATAATAAAGGAGAAAAGTTGAACATTTGAATAGTATAAAAACTGGCAGGCACCCAACATATAGATAATTGCTTAAGATAAAATTCAAACTACTTTACAGTAAAGGCAGTGCCTTCTCTTCTCATGGAATTATGGAAAATGCAACTGAGTCTTTAATATATGCTTGTGGATTATAAACCATAGGGATATACTAGAAGGATATTAACATAAGCATTTCTGTTCTTCACGTTGAACCTTTAAATTCTGTCATTCACTTTCTTCTTTGTGAGTCTTTCCATCTTCTATTTATTACACAAAACTCTCAATCCCTTTAAGCCACATTTAACCTTTTCCCACTTAGTTCTGCTTCTTTGATCTAAAGAAGAAAACAGGAAGATCAATGTCAGTCTCACCAATGATTATACATTCTTTATTTGCCTACAATTTGAACTTTGCATCAGAAAGCTACTTTGAATTTTGTTTTGCTGTGTTCCATTACCCAGATGCAACAGTAAATAACTATTTGGGGTTGAAACTCTAGGATTGCTAAATTTGGAAGACTGCCTGAGTAGGTTTTTCAAGGTCTTTCTATTATTATTTTTAATCCTAACTGACTGCTTTTATTGTCTACACCCTGGGCTATTTTAATTAACATGACAATTTAAATAAAACAGTTCAGCTCTAATAAAAGAACAAAAATTGCTAAAATGAAAATATATTAACAGAAGATAACTTAGACAACTTAGATAACTTAGACAACTTAGAAATACACCGCCTTTGGTCTGACCTAAGTGTAGTACACAAAATTATCCACTACAATGTCCTACCTGTCAATGACTTCTTCAGCTTCAACCACAACAAACAAGCACACAATAGATACAAACTTATGGTAAACTGCACCAAACTTGATTGCAGGAAATACGACTTCCGCAACAGAGTGGTCAATGCCTGGAATACACTACCTGACTCTGTGGTTTCTTCCCCAAACCCCCAAAACTTTAACCTTAGACTGTCTACTGTTGACCTCACTCCATTCCTAAGAGGTCTGTAAGGGGCAAGCATAAGTGCACCTACGTGCCTATTGTCCCTGCCCTAATGTCCCCTTTTAAGGTAAAGATAAAGGTTCCCCTCGCACATATGTGCAAGTCATTCCCGACTCTAGGGGGCGGTGCTCATCTCCATTTCAAAGCCGAAGAGCCAGCGCTGTCTGAAGATGTCTCCGTGGTCATGTGACCGGCATGACTAAACGCCAAAGGCACACAGAATGCTGTTACCTTCCCACCAAAGGGGGTCCCTATTTTTCTACTTGCATTTTTTACGTGCTTTTGAACTGCTAGGTTGGCAGAAGCTGGGACAAGTAACGGGAGCTCACCCCATTACACAGTACTAGGGATTTGAACCGCTGAACTGCCGACCTTTCGATCAACAAGCTCAGCATTTTAGCCACTGAGCCACCGCATCCCTTAATGTCCCCTTTTATTCATATCCATTTCATGTATTAATAACCATGTTTATATCTATATCTGTTATCTAATACATGGTTGGCAAAATAAATAAAATAAAAAAATAAAATAAAATAAAAATAAAAGATATTAGTTCCAGAAACACATTTTCTGGTCCATTATCCCAGCCATTGCTGGTCTGGAAACTATCTTCAATCATCCTAGGTATTTAAGGGTGAAGCAATTTAGAAACCTATTCACATAAAAATGTCCTAATACCCAACTCATATGAAATGCATATAGTTCCCATTCTCACTCCCTATATAGTCTTCCTTTTTTTTAAAAAAATTAATCCTAGCATAATCCCACTGCTTGATGTCAAAATGCTTCAACAATATGAACTTTCCAAAATGCCATCGTGTAAGTTGCCAAATACGTCTTGGATTTTATTCCTGAATATCAGACTTGTCTTCATTTTCTGGGAAGAGCAGGAGCATGAGAAGGACCTTACCAGTAGGAGTTAAATAATAATTTGTAGAAGGCAAAGCCATTGTCAACTGCATCCCTTGAAAAATATATCCTCTGAACAATAAACCAACAGTGTAATTAGAAAGAGAAAGCTGATGTGGGATAACCCAAAAGAGAACCCTGTGAAAGCAGGACTGAGATCACGGAACAATAAATACAATCTGTTAGACTAGCCACTGGGCCAAAATGGAAGGAGCTGAAGTCTTTCCATTGATGGATAATCAAGGTAGGCCTCCCTGCTTGTAATCAGATCTCCAAACCAAGGTTAATTTTGTGCTGGGCAAGAAGAGAAATTAATAAGAGTTTCCTAAGAGTTTAGCATCCCTGGTCTTCCATTCACATTCCTTTGCCTTCTCATGTCCCTCCTCTCAAATAATCTATTTTTCTTATACCTCAACCTCTTGTTGCAGAAATCCCCAGCCTTGGTATTCAACCTTATCTGCTTTCTCACTTCAGCCACTTGTTCACCTATAGTTCTCTGGCTTTTTAAAGAGCAATGTCTCTGAGGCCTTGTACTGTATTTTCTCACCCACAAATACAGGTAGTCCTCGACTTATGACCAAAATTGAGCCCAGAATTTATGTTGCTAAGCGGGACAGTTGTTAAGTGAATTTTGCCCCATTTCACGATCTTTCTTGCCGCATTTGTAAGTGAACCACTGCAGTTATTTAGTTAGCAATACAGTTGTTAAGTGAATCTTAACAACCATTCACTTTGCTCGTCAGAAGTTCGCAAAAGGTGATCACATGACCCTGGGACACCGCAACTGTCATAAATAAATATGAGTCAGTGCCAAGCATCAGAATTTTGATCACATGACCATGGAGATGCTGCAGGGTGGTGAAAAATGGTCATAAGCCACTTTTTTGGGTGGTGTAACTTTGAACAGTCACTAAATCAGTGTTTCTCAACCTTGGTAGCTTGAAGATGGGTGGACTTCAACTCCCAGATCCCCCAGCCAGCACTGCTGGCTGGGGGATTCTGGGAGTTGAAGTCCACCCATCTTCAAGCTTCCAAGGTTGAGAAACACTGCACTAAATGAGCTGTTGTAAGACAAGCACTATCTGCATGCTTTCCTCCCCTCTTTAAAATTCCTCTTAAGACACATCAGGAACAAGGCTAGTAGATTCCCTGATTTTAAATGGAGGCCACAGTGAGCTATGGCTCCAGCTTTAGCAGCAGGAAAACAGGAAGGGGCAGGATATGATTCTTTTTCTCAGCTGCCTCCTTCTCTTCCCTCCACCAGGTTTTGCTATTTTTCCCTTTTGCTGCCCATTTCTTTATGTCAATCTTTGCTGGGGAGTATTGCCAGTCACCTGTCCCAACACTGGCTCTACTAATACTGCATGGCATCGATCTTTCCAAAACGGGTGATTAGCTGTGGCTGATGCTAACAGGGGCAGCAATGTGCACCTGATGAAGTTCTGATCTCTCTGGCAGTTAAAATAGAAATGGTCGCAGAGGCACAGAATTCAATGGCCGGATGGGAAAGAGTTGTAATGTAGCAGACCTGGTACGTTTTCTGCAGTGCGTTGACTTTTCTTAGATTTCCCCTCGGTGAGAATCAGAATGCTTGAATAAGGGGCTGTCTTCCATCTTCTAATAGAAATTTAATTTCATGTAGGATTACCTTGATCCAGCTTCACTCTTTATTAGAAGTGGCCAGGGAGACCAGACCAGGCTATCAACTCAACACGAAGGCTAAACTACTTTAATAGACATTAGCTGTAAAATAAAAACATTTTAGCCCCCTTTGCCTAGATAATGGATCTTGCATATTTCCATTAAGGTCATCTTTCTTACTCTCTATGCTGGCAACACTATGAAGCCTTTGTTGTGAGGCTTTGCCCTTGGTAAAAGTTAGATGAGCTGTCAAGGAACCAAAGCAAGAACACTGTAAGGATGAGCTAAAAAGTTACACCTACACAGTGGTGGGCTGCTGGGGGGTACGCAGGGGTTTGGGAGAACCTCTAGCTAATATTCTGTGCAGTTCAGAGAACCCCCAAATCCCACTCCTGGCTGGCCCCTCTCATCCCACCCCTCCCAGGAGTCACCACACAGCCCGTTTTGGATGCAGGTAAGTGCAGGGCGTGTGCGGAAACTCGGGGAGGGCGAAGAATGGGCCTACCGGAAGTTCAGGAAGGCCAGAAACCTGGGGAGGCCATTTTTGCCCTCCTGGAGGCTTGAGGAAAGCGTCCAGAGCCCAGGAGGGCAAAAACAACCCCCCCTGCTGTGGTACAGGAGGCAGATTAGGCCATGCCCACCATGGCCACGCCCACCCAGCAACTGGACAGAGAACCCCTTTCTAAAATTTTTGAAGCTACCTGTACCTTTGAAGTCCCTGTACCTACCTATAAGGCTACAGGTTTCCACAGTCTGGTACACTCCTCATATATAAAGGAGGAAAAGGCTCCCTTGTGCTTAACTCCTGGTGACTATATGGATACATCCATGCAATTTTCTTGCCCTCCATATGAAAGTGGCTTTTTAGCCACTTAGACCTAAATTATTATCTCTTCTAAGTGTAGATGATGGGAGATGTGGCTCAACATAACTGGAGGACAGCTGGTTGGAGATTATTATATTATAATTTCTGGATAAATCAATTTATTTGACTATTTTGCCATGGTTTACCTGTGATTCTTCCTGTTTAAGACGCCTCCTGTTGTCATGCTTCCTGGGTATGAACAAGCATAAGACATTTCTGACTGCCAGTCCTCTGGAGGAATCAGTTTCAAGCTCCAAATACTGAAAGCCCCTTTCCCATCTATCATGTCAGCATCCTTCTTATCATGATATATTTTTCCACTAATATTCCAAGTGACAGTATTTGAATTAGAGTTAACATTGAAAATGATGCAGAGCAGAGGAATATCATGCTTCAGAGGTCCATCCTGCAAGAAAGATGGCCCAAGGATGGAAAGAGTTGGCTTCAAAGTTTCTACAAGAGATGGAAAATGATAATGGTTATTATTAGCTTTATATCCCTTGAATTTCTTTCTTTCTTTCTTTGTTTAATTTGAATCCCATCTTTATTATTATTACAAAAAACTTAAGATGGTAAACACATCCAACTACCTTCCTCCTCCTATTTTCCCCACAAAGATGTGCTCATAGAAAGTCACCTGCCCAAAGTCACCCAGCTGGCTTTCATGGCTAAATCGGGACTTGAACTCACAGTCTCCTGCTTTCTAACCTGATGCCTTAAATATAAGACTAAACTGGCTCTCTAAATTACCTATGTTTAGTTTGGTTATCAGCATTTCTAAATCCTATGACCTGGAGCCCAGGTTTATGCTAATCAAGGGAGTGGTGATATCACTGAATATGAGTTCTTATAAAGAAATGTTAATTGTTCATTGAAGTTGATGATTTGTTTTTGGGGGAGGGGGTTGTGTTTTTGTTTTTTTTTAAATTGTGTGTGTTTTGACTTATGTGAAGATCTAGTTCTCTGGAGAAGGCTCTAATGATGGGAAACATGAAAAGAAAAAAAAGATGACTAACAGCAAAGCGGATGGACTCAGTTACAATGGCAATGGATTAGTACACTTGAAAGACCAAAGTAGAGAAAAATCACTATGGAAAAGAATTTACCTATGTGGTCACTTAGAGTCATTACAACTTGATTGCACATAATCAATTTATATGCGTGTGGCTTTTAAAAATAAAACAAACAAACCCTTCTACAATAAATCTGAACATGTAGAAGTGAATCAGCAATTCAGATAGTAGATCATACCAGCATTTTCAAACTTAAAGCAGTTTGGTTTAGTGGTTAAGGCACCAGGCTAGAAATAAGATAAGATAAGCCATATTGTCAGTTTTTACTGTGAACACACTGGCACACATTAAAAATGGAATTCTGTTGCCCGCTCTCTAAAGAAAATATGTATTGACCCAAACACATACATAACACATGTAGGTATGTATATACATACATAAATAAATATATCTACACCCATCTATATGGAACAAAACCGTGACTGAATCTAGATGTTCTGCTTTGGATACCTCCTCCCAGAAGGTAACCAGGAAAATAGGTCATGAAGAGGATATCTAGTGCCCCGGACAATCCTGCAGAGCCTGCTCAAGCATCGTTTAAATGGTATGCCCTGGATAGAAGGATGTGAATTACCAATGATCTTTTCTACCATCCTCACCACTCTCTGCACCGCCTTCCTGCCCAAAATAGTAATGCTTCCAAACCAGACAGTAATGCAATATGACAGGATGCTCTTGATCGTCCCTCTATAGAAAGTGGTAAGGACAGTGGAAAGAAGATGAACTTTTCACATGCAACACAGAAAATGTAGGTGCTGCAGTGGCTGCTTTATGAGTGTCTCACTGTTGAGTGACTAAGCTAGCCTAGGCGACCAAGATAATCAGGAGACCATGAGTTCAAGTCCTGCCCTGGGCATGAAAGTCGGGTGCTTGACTTTAGGCCAATCACACTCTCTCAGTCCATGATGTCAGGTTCTGGTGACAAGCCAGTCAGTCAATTCCTGTTGCAACCAATGGATCAACCAAGTGTTCATCTAAAAAAAAAGAAAAAAGGGACTCTACACTTGCAGGGAAATGCTAGGAAGAAAATATTTTTTTAAAAGACCTAAAACAAATGTTCACACATATTCTACTCATAAAGCCTTGTATGATCAACTAAAGAACTTGTTTGTTTTTGGATAGAACTATTTAAAACATATTCCCTTCCACCAAAGAATTTGTGTCTGTTCTTTTAAATTTCCTTTGGACTGTATGGCTGAATTAAATTTGAATTAAATTTATTTATACAATTGATAGGTACGCTAGCAATCAGATCAAAGCAAACTTTTTGAGAGGTGAAAATGCAAGTAAAGCAAATTATAGCAGTTTCAAAGACCAATCCATTTTATAGCCTATTGCGAACAGAACACGCAAACAGAAAATCAAAAGGAGATGTATTGGACTATTCATGGTAAAGAATTCCCAAACATTGACAGGACATTAGAAATGTTCAATATTTCCATATTTCATGCCCACACTTTACTATTTGCGATGATGGAAGTATCTAGATTTCTTTTTGTAACTGAGATGTGCATGCATCATATGTCCGCCTTCCACTGTGAACCATCTTCTTTCTAGTTCTTCCCAAAAATCAGCCTTATTACCTACACTTGATTACATCATTTATTTATTAAGGTATATATCTTACTCAATAGTGGGTTTCAAATCCCGGCGCTATCAGTTTGCTATTAGTAGCGCACGGGTGCAGCACTTCTGCACAGAGCATTTTTGGTGATGTCTGGGCGGATGGGCAAGCCGCCACTACCAGTGAATGAAGACTATCAAGACTATGGGTGGTACACATAAAACTGCTCATTTTTCTTCACAAGAACTCTGTTCAGTAGGATGGACTGAGAAAGTATAGCTGGCCCAAAGTCACTGAATGAGTTATTGAACTGCTTGAATTCTCACCTGTGATTATTACTCTTGTCCTGTGCATGGGTAGTTTGCCGTAGTTCTGATTTACAACACAGGTATAAGTACCAGAAGCATTCCTTTGCGCATTGTTGATAATCAGATTACTGAAGTATGAGGTAGACTTTTGCTCTCCTTTCAAGTTATTGTCATCCTGATCAATCTTGCACAGGTTTTGTCCTTCCTTATACCAGGTCACGACAAAAGGCAAAGCTGAAATTTCACAGCTGATATTTACCGTGCCTCCTAAAGGGACCTCAATCGTTTTTACTTGATTACCCTGTGAATTAGTTGCTACAGCAAGAAAACAAAGAAACCTTTTATTGCAAAATGAAGCAGAGAGAAAATGTGAATGTGTTCCTTTCCTCTGTATATGAATTTTTCACTCATTGGTTCAATTCATTCAATCTTGCAGTCCACATTAAAATGAATTTCCTCCTCTACAGTAAATACCAAAACCATCACCATGGCTGAATGGAGTAATTAGCATACTGGCACAGTCTACACAACAAACTAATAGCCCGATACACTGTCGGTGTAGAAGCCCCACAATCAATCAATCAACAAATAAACAATGCATGCTATGTAATAAGTTAAAATTTGGAAAGTTCTTGAGTTGCATTTGTTCATGAAGGTACTATGCAAAGCCATATAATCAGGAGAGAAATAAAACATAGAAACTGTACCGCTCAAGTGTTAAGCTGATGCAGAAAAAATGGATTTCTGTAGAATTTACTTAAAAATAGTATGTGTGTCAGAAAACAGCTTTAAACATTGTCTGCAAAATACTCCTCCATTTGTTTTGCAAATTAGTGCTTTTGCGTTTCTAATGTTATTATAAGAACAATAATTTGTTAGCTATAAGCTGTGCTCTGCTGATAGGAAATATTGAAAGCTGACAGTTATGCTTTGCTTATTTTTTTAACAATGTGCTATAAATGATCATTGAGATAACCTGTCTGAAGACACAGTCTGACATTCATAGACACAATATAATAGCCTTTCTCTCTTGATGTTGTGTGTGTATTTAAATATAAATAAAAAAGACTGCATTGCGGATGGGTGAGAGAGAAAAACCTAGTGATTAATGGAGAAAAACTTCACCTGGAATCACCCTTTCCTTGATGATAATCAAGTACTAAATTTGGAATCTGAATAAGACTAAGTTTTGAAAATACTTACCATGCAAGACAAGTAGAAGAATCCCAGCACAATGGGCAAACATCTTCATTTTCCAGCCTCTACAGTTAATTTTCAACAGTTCAATTTAAACTCGGTCCATGCACAGCAACACCTTTCCTGTCACTCCTTAGAGAAAGAGAAAGAAGATTAAGAGGGGCAAGGAAAATATCCTCAATTGGGAAAACTTTAGATCTGCCTTTGATAGCTAACTTTTCCCTTTTTTAAAGGAAAACAGGCAACAAGGAAATCCAAGCCCCTCTTCACACACACACTAATATTCATATTACTGAGTAATATTATTCTGCCCAAATAAGGCTATGATAGTATGTAAAATCAGCTTGTAAGGCAAAGGAGCCAACAAGCAAGAATTGTAACCTCCAAACTAACCTAGTGTATGAAAATACCCGGCAGTCCTACTCTAAAGACGTGAAGAACAAAGTCAAACAGGAGGTGGTGATAAGCAGGCAGTGGAATTCACATCACTGTGTCAACCAAAGAGGTGAATCACATGCCACCAATGTTTTTTTTTTTTTGATGGGTCGCTATCAACACTGTTACCACCCACCTGGTACACAAATTGCTAGCCCGTCTTTGGATGGTTATTTTAGCAATGCAGTTCACCACATGCCTTATCCTGTTCTCCATGGGTAAGTCTAATCAGTTCTATCAGAAATCTCTAGACAAGCACTTTTAGATCTGATTCAGAGACGAGATTTTCTATGTGTGGCAGGAAGGGGGGAAAACCGTGGTATCTTATAGGCTGATAACATTTTAGCAGTTTTCATTCCATGAAATCAAACAAAATTAACTTGATAGTCTTTGAAGTGCCACAGAAGCTTTTGTAGTTGTCTAATTTGATTTCTTAAAGAGTTTTCTCAACAGCTCTGATTCTGTGTTGTTGTAGTTTTTATTCTAGTGAAGATGTGAGGGATGGTGCCTACAGAGAGAGAGGTGATGTGATGGATTACAGTGAAGTAACTTCCTAAGAAGGAAGGATCATATTCTAAGGAGGGAGTGAAACAAAGGGCAACAGCACCCAGACCTGGTTAGAATACAGAGGAAGAGAGTTAGGATAGCCACTCCCTAGAATTTCCCAGGACTTATCTGTTGGGGTGAGAGTAGTAAATGTTTAGTCTGGCAAGATTCTGCCTATTGGATCATTCTATACAATTTAATCTGTAATTAAATACAATCCAATAATAATAATAGTAATAATAATATTGCTTATAACGTTATGCTTATATATATCTATATATACATTTAACTCTATTCTATTAATCATTCTTAATTATAAATTTACTAACTTCTGCTTCTGTTTTCTAACCATCTATAGAATAAGTCCCATGTTAAATAATACTCTGATTACTCTTTGTCCTTAATTCTCATCATTAACCTGTCCATTTCGGCATAGTCTAGTATTTTCTTTATTACATTTTCATCTATAGGTACACTTTCATTTTTCCAGTTTTGTGCATAGATAATTCTCGCTGCTTTTATTACATGTAATATTAAATATATGCTTCTTTCATTGTGTTTTTCCGGTAATATACCTAGTAGGAACAATTGTGGTTTTAAATCTATTTGTTGTGCTATCATTTTGTCTAACCACCTTTTAATCTTTAACCAATATTTTTTTGCCATTGGACAACTCTACCACAGGTGGTAATAGGACCCCAGTATCTGTTTACATTTCTAGCACTCTGGCAATATGTTTTGGAACATCTTTGCCATTCTTGCTGGTGGCAAATGCCATCTGTAGAACATCTTATAAAGGTTTTCTTTGTATGCTGTTGACATCGTTCGTTTGTAATTTTTTTCTTAAAGTTTTTGCCAATTGTCTAATTCTATATTGTATCCAAAGTTTTTGGCCCATACTATCATAGTTTCTTTTACATGTTCTTCTTCCATTTTAAACCTCAATAAATAATTATAAATTTTCTTTATTAACTTATCATCTGTCCCTAGGAATATCTGATCTAATTCTAGGGGTTCTTTTTTTTTATTGAATAAAAAACATACACACAGAGAAAAAAAAGGAACACAAACAAGTACAAAATAAAACAATACACAACATATACAACATTTAAACATAATATCTTATTTCTTAAGAAAATACATCAGTAAATTGTATTTCTCAATATATATTCCCACATCTCACCTTATATAACAATATTTTTTGAAGTTTTGTTGTAACTCTATTGTATTTCCTTGGTACACAATTTGGTTCAAATCTTTTAGGATCATCTTTTTATTTGGTTTTCCTTTTCTCTAGCCATTGATACCACATTTGCCAAACCAGATAGTATTCAGATTCTTTCTTTTCTTGGATTTCTTTAGTGAGTTTGTCCATCTCGGCACATTCCATTACTTTCGATATTATTTTATCTTGTGTTGGGATTTCTTCCGATTTCCAATTTTGTGCAAAGATGATTCTTGCTGCGATCAGAATATATGTAATCAAATATATTGTTTCTTTTTCGTAGCTATTTGTAAGTATACCCAATAAATATGTTTCCGGTTTTAATGGTATTTTTTGTGCTGTTATTTCTTCCAGTTGGATTTTAATTTTATTCCAAAATTGTTTTGCTTTTGGGCACAACCACCACATGTGGTAGTATGTCCCTTTTTGTATTTTGCATTTCCAGCAAAGTGGAGAAGTGTTGGGAAACATTTTTGAAATCCGTGCTGGGGGAAGATGCCATCTGTAAAACATCTTATAAGCATTTTCTTTATATGATACTGATAATGTCAATTTACTATTAACTTTTCATAGTTTTTCCCATTTGCTTAGTTCAATGCTATATCCAAAGTTCTTCGCCCATGTGATCATATTCTCTTTTACTATTTCCTCTTCTAATTTATATGCAAGTAAAAAATAGTAAATTTTGGTTATTAATTTCTCATTTGGGCCCAGTAGTATTTTATCCAGTTCATTTGGTTCTTTTTGAATTCCATAATTCTCCATGTCCGTTTTGTATCTGGATTTTAATTGTAGGTATGGCCACCAGTCAATTTCCACACCTTGTTCTTTTAATTCTTCTCTTGTTTTTAATTTTCCTTCATCATTTAGGAGTTCTTGATATGTTTTCATTTTATTTATATCCGTTGTATTTGGGTATATTTGTGATTCCATTGTTGAAATCCACCGTGGGATTCTCTCGTAGTGGTTCTTCCTAATTTCAGTCCAAATCTTTAGCAATGTGTCTCTCACAATATGTCTTCGGAATTGTTCATGCTTTTTAGGTTTTTCTTCCCATAGATATGCATGCCATCCTTTCTCCAGATCAACGCCTTCTAATGTTAATATGCGTTTGTTTTTGAGTTCGATCCACTCTTTAATCCATGTTAGTGATGATGCTTTGTGGTAAATTTGCCAATCTGGAAGCCCCATTCCTCCTCTTTCTTGTTTGTCGTGTAGGTGTTTTAGTTTGATTCTTGCCTTTTTCCCCTGCCAGATATATTTTAATATCACCTTATCAAAATCTTTGAAGTAAGTTTTTCCTGGATGTATTGGTATCACCTGGAATAAATACAGCATCCTTGGCAGAATATTCATTTTAATGGAGGCTATTTTACCTAGAAATGATAGCTGTAATTTAGTCCAAAATTTTAAATCTTTTTCTATTTGTTTGGCCAATTTATGATAATTATCTTCTTTGAGTGTTGATATTCTATTGGTAAGCCAGATCCCTATGTATTTCACTTTCCAATTCTTTCCTTTGGTTTTTGGTGAGGTTCTTCGTTAACATTTTTGTTTTTTGTTTATTGATTTTCAGGCCCTCTACTTCCCCATATTGTTCTATTTTTGTCAATAATTTGGATCCTGATTGTAATGGTTGTTCTAGGATGAGTATTATATCATCCGCAAATGCTTGCAGTTTGTATTCCTGGTTCTTTATCCTTAATCCCGTTATTTCTTTATCTTCCCTAATTTCTTCCAATAATATTTCCAATGTTAATATGAACAATATGGGGGATAGGGGGGATCCTTGCCTCACTCTTTTCTTTATATCAAATTGTTCCGTTGTCTCTCCATTAATCAATATTTTTGCTGTTTGGGTGTTATATATCCTTTTGATCATATTTAAGAATCTTCCTCCAAATTTCATCATTTCCAATTGTGTTATTAAGAATGTCCAATTAAGATTATCAAACACTTTTTGTGCGTCCAGGAAGATTAATGCTACTTGCTTATCTGGTCGTTATTCATAGTATTCAAGGGTATCGATAATTGTCCTTGTATTATTTTTGATTTGTCATCTGGGAATGAAGCCGTTTTGGTCTGGATATATATAGTGATTAATTAAATTTTTCAATCTCTGTGTTATAATAGATGTAAATAGTTTGTAGTCTACATTAAGAAGAGATATTGGTCTATAATTCTTAATTTCAGCAGGATCCGAATCTTGTTTTGGTATTAACGTAATTATTGTTTCATTCCATGATTGTGGAATTTCAGCTTCTAGAAGTGCGTCATTAAATACCTGTATTAGAATGTCATCTAATGATTGCTGGAATGTCTTATAAAATTCGGATGGTATGCCATCTGGTCCCGGTGTTTTATTGTTTTTTTGTTTCTTCCTTGCTTCTGTTAGTTCTAACATGGAAATTTTATCAGTAAATGTAAATGGACTCAACTCGCCACCCAAACGAAACTATATTTTTTAAAAAATTGTGAAACAAGAATTAGATATAGTGTGCCTTCAGGAGGCACACATAAGAAAACAAGATATAAAATATATACAATATAAGAAATTAGGTACAGTATACTCATCATTGGCAGAAGAAAAAAAAAGAGGAGTAGTGGTATATGTCAAGGAAGGAATAGATAGTACTATAAGATATGTGGATACCGAGGGTAGAATAGTGATGATAGAGCTAAAATTGGATTTTAAAAATATACTGTTAGTAGTAATATATGCCCCAAATAGTAAACAATTAGAATTTTATAATAAAGTGCATGAGAAAATTATCGAACAAAAAATGGAAAATGTATGTATGATTGGAGACTTCAATGCGATTTTTGATCCAAGAAAGGATTATAAATGTATCCAGCAAAACAAAAATAAGAAAAATGTTCTGCCCAGAGCCTTTAGAGATATGGTAGAAGAATTAAATATGATAGATGGCTGGAGATTTTATAACCCTGAAATTAGAAATTTTACATATTATTCGAATCCACATAAGTCGTGGTCTAGGTTAGACATGGCATGGGTATCCAGTACTTTAATGACAGAAATAGAAGCGGTAGAAATTCTATCAAACGATTGGGCGGATCACAATCCAATAATGATAATGTGGAAGGGCAGCAGAAAAGGAAAAATAGATGGACAATGAACACACAGTTGACGAGAGAAAGAGAGTATAAGAATTATATCGAAAAGGAGTTAGAATTGTTTTACAAGGAAAATACAAAACAACACACCTCCCTACAAAACCTATGGGACACAACTAAGGCGTATGTAAGAGGCCTTACAATAGCATATAATGTAAAAGAGAAAAGAAAGAGAAAAAGAATATAATAAAATACGAGAAGAAATTAAAAATTGGGAAAGTAAATTGCAAAGAAACCCAGGGGATGAACAAATAAGGGTAAAATGGATAGAGGCAAAACACAAGCTGAACATATTAGAACAAGGGAAATATG